GATGCGCCGGCAGCAGCGATGGAGCTGTCTGGGGCAGGCGGTGGTTTTGGCACGTCCGAAGGGGGGATGGCGTTTGTGTCGTTGGCGGGACTGGATGGGCTCAGTGAAGGCTCCGTCGTGGGTGCCGGGTTGGGGACGGTCGTCTCGCCCAGACTCTTCTTATCGTCGGCGTAGAAGCGTCTGGCGACATGCCATTGCGGGCGGGCGTGGCAGGCCAATGGCCTGGCAGCTGGACGGGCCCGAAGAATGGAGGCGCGCAGCATGGTGGGCTGCCTCCGGATGGCGGGGATGGGGATGTTGATGGGCGGGTGATGGTCGTTGAGCCAGTGCCAAAGCCGGCCTGCGAAGATTTGGAGCTTCTGCCGACGACACACGTCAGGGCGCACGGACACGGCCAGGCATCCTCACCATCGCTTCCACCCTCCCTGCCACTACACTACACTACCACCAATATCACCACCACCACGACATGACCTCGCCTCGTCTTTAGATGCTGCTGACAAACGCCATGTGTATGGTGCCACCGTCGTGTGAGCCCATGCAAACACTACGGTGTATCTGCCCAGCTGCCATGCTCGTGCTGCTACTGCTGCTGTCCATGGTGCACACCACACGTTTGATATATGCTAACCTCCCCTTTCGTTTCATTTCCTTCTTCTTCTTCATCATCTCCCCTGTCTCTCGTCCCATCTCTCCCTTCACCTCTCACTATCACTGTCAGCCCTTCGCCCCCATTCTGAAACTGGGCGAGTGAGCACAGCCTTCGCGTCACCACCTTGCAACGTCATCAGATCACCTTCATCACAAGCCCACAAGCACCCGCTTTCCCGCCTACCAGCCCACCCACACCTATTCCACTCCCACACGCACCATCCCGTCGGCGCAAACTTGTCTTGAAACAGCGGACGAGGCCCCACTTGTTTGCCAGTTCACAAAAATTTCCTCGTGGCTTCTCTTGGCTGCGACTCGATCCTGTTCAAACACCACGCACTCCTCGACCCGTCTTACCCTCATCTTGAGAGTTTACCCTCACCAGCTGCAAAACTTTGTGCAAGAATCATCCGTACACACGTCCGTCTCAGTTATGAAGAGCGGCCCGACCCGCAGCGCACATGCGCGTGACGATACAGAGTTCCGCTACGACCTTAGTCACGCCATATATGGCAGTTTCCCATCATGCGCATCACACACCACGCTGCCTCAGCGAGCGCGTGCCCCATCCCCACATTTCGCCTCAAAAACATCCAGCGAGCCGACATCCAGCACACTTGTCGATTCCACTCTCGGCGGACAGAAAGAAATTCAAAGTCCCAACGACGACGACGGCGACATCGACAACGACATCAATAGCAACAGCGCGATAAAGCCCTGGCTTTCCCATCAACCCAATCCACCCAGCCATGCAGACGACATGGACAACATGCATCAAAGCGTTTGTCTGAACCTCACCCCACCCTGCGAAACCACCACATCTGAGTCAGAGTTGTGGATCCTACCCGAACTTGACGACTGCAATGCCAATCCATCAGCGTCGTCGACTTCTTCCTCGTCTACCGCTTCTTCGTCCTCTTCCTCCTCGGCTACGACATCAGCCCGACCATCGACCCCCTTAGTAATTGGTGGAGAAAAACAAATTTCCCTCTTCCTCTCGCACGCCACCAAAGCCAAATCCCATTTCGAGCAGCTGCGTACAAGACTTATCCAGGGTGACTACGACGGCTGGGACTTGTTCGTTGCGAGATGTAACCCCGAGAGCAAGGACAGACCAAGGAACAAACACTATCATGGTGAGGAGCGGGTGGATGAAGAGTTTGACCTTGTCGTCTTATCGACTGTCAGGGCGAGTTGTTGAGTCTTGGTGTTCTCTCTTCTTTGATGAAATCACGAGACATGACCTTTTTTCTCTCTTCTTTTGTCTTTCAGTCTTTCCTTCTAATGATAATGACGATACTCATGATTGGTTTTGGCGTACGGTATTTCAAACTGGTAATGATCGATACCCCGTGCCTCTCTTTTACTTCCCTTTCTTTTTTCCTTTGTTCCGATGGAGCCAGTACATGCAAGAGTATAGTAGAATGGGCTAAGAATAAAAGGCTTTTTACATCCTCAAAGCATTCACGGTTGCGTTTGTCTTTGCAAACACTTGCTCACCGTCCTTATTCTGGTGTTTAATTTGTTAGATGTATAAATTTACTTTCGGCCGTGTACCCCACCACACTCTCAGGACCCTGAGAATTACTATCAAAAAAAAAGGAAAGACAGACTAAAAAAGGAATATCACCATCAATACAGCAGACTTACACGGTTAGAATTACAAGAGTGCGAGTAGGTGAGAGAAAGAAAGAAATAAAGAAAAAGAAGAAAAGAAGCCTTTCCCCTCCCAATCTACCCATCTAGCTCTTGAGGACCAAGGAAAGAAAGATTTATAAGAAGGCACGACACACTCGACTCGATTCCATGCAAAAAGTCAGTACAACAACAATAACAACAAGACTACTCGATCCTCTTCTTTCCCTCTTCCAATCCCAATAACCTAGCGTCGCTCTTGCCCCTCTCGTGCTTTGTACCCACAAGTGGTCCTACCATGCTGCTCTGCGACACTTTGGCCAGCGTATCCTGGAAAGCCTCGATTTGCGGGGGTTGGCGGTTAAGTTTAGGCCAGTTGACCTGAATGGTACGTTAGGAAATCTGGAGCTTGAACAAACAAACAAACAAACAAACAAGTAAAAAGACAAGTGGGAATAGTTGAGAATGAACCAAAAAAAAACTTACATAAAGAGTACCATTGGCCCAGATAAAGTTGAAACACGCCGCAGCCGTAACAAGCGACAGCAGCAGCAACAGACGAATTGGCCAAACAGCCGCATCAGGCGCGCGCCGGGTGAAGGTGCTGACGAGGATCAAGAAGATACTTGCGGCGAGAATGTACGGTATTGACTGGATGAACAAGGGCCGACGGTCGGCAAACAGGAGCTGTCCGCCCATGCCCGAGTCGCTGGGAAGATAGTTACCCAGGAACAAGTCAAAAGCGTCCTGGCGAGGTCCGTCGCTGAAATTGTTCAGACAGTACCGCGTAATTGAGTTGTTGAGATCCTGCAGCGCACCCTGCTTGGTGCGCACGCCCAGGCGCGTAAAGTCGGTTTTGAGGGCGCCGGTGCCAGAGTAAGATTTGGATACGACATCGGCATTGTCGGCCCAGATGTTGCGGAAAAGGTGCTCGAATGCAGCGTCTTCCTCTGCGCTCTCGCCCTCGCGCATCAGGCCCAAGTCAATAAGCATGCGCGAGAGGACAAAGCGGCCCAGCATGCTCTGCACTACGTTTGTGCGGTCCAGACAGTCCATGCAGTTTGTTCGCACCACGGCTGTCTGGTGCCGGCGGACCTCGACACCACCTGCATCGCCGGGCATGTCGACGCCGCAAAAGTAGCCATGCTTGACAATGTGCGGCTCCAGTTGGTTGAGCAGCAGCTTGGCGCGGTCCCATCGCAGGCCCTTTGTTTCGTTGTGAAAGTCAAAGTAGACGTAGTGCAGGCGGTCGTATACGGTTTGGGCCCGCGCCGGATCGATAATGTGGAACTTTTCAGGGGTAATGCGATCCCCCTCGACGTTTTCCGCAGGCGACGTGTGCAGCATCTCGACCATTTGCTCGTATGCCTCCTTGACTCGCTGCTCGCGGCCCTTTTGGTTGACCAGGTTGACCATCCAATTGTCGCCATAGAGGCGGATCTGCTCAGCAAAGTGCTTCTTCGCCGCTGGCAGCGCGCTCTCAATGCCACGAACCTGCAGCTTGGGTGTGTACTTGAGCGTGTTAATCTCAGCCCAGTAGACGGGGACACTTCCTCTTGTCTGCACATAGGCGAGAACCTGTGTCTCCTTGCCAGCATTGCCACCCGCTGTTCCGTTCTGGGCCGAGCCGAAGCCGCCAGGCCCGCCCGAGGCATTGTCGTTGAGAATGATGATTTGCTCCGTCTCGTTGAAGTTGGACACGTTGCCGTTCTCGTCGATGCCGCGCGAAAAGTATCTTGTTCCGGCCTTGAGGCGGGACCTGCGCGTGATGAGAATGAAGGTGAGGGGAGTGCCCTTGATGGATGTCCTCTTAATCTCCAGCATGCCGTACATGACGGGCAGGATGTAGGGGTCTGCGCCGGGCTGGTGACCGGCCGAGTGCCTTCCATATCCGCCACTCAGGCCGCCGCGAAAGTCAATGAGGTCGCTGGAGACGAAGCGGTTCCAGTAGAAGCGGTCGTCGGCGCGCTTCCAGAGGGGCGTCGAGGGGTCGAGGTGGGCCTGGCGCTGGAAGGTGTTTGTGATGTCGAACGAGTAGGAAAAGTACAGCGGGGATGTCTTGAGGAGCGTCTTGAGCAGGTTGAGATAGTTGTCCTCGTCGATATCGTGCAGAGGCTTCTCGCGCAGGGACAGGAACTCGGTGGAGACTATGCGGTAGACCATATGGCCCTTTATACGGCCAACGGGCTCTGCCTTTGTGATGACAATGATGTACTTGTCGAGGCGCAGCTTGATCATGCCCAGGATCCCGGCGATGCTCGAGACACGTTTAGAACCCAGCAACTTGCCATCGTGCAGGCGCATGTCGCCCGAGGGGCGGTCGACGACGAGCGTGGGCGCCGAGGGCGACGAGGGCGACGAGAAGGCATAGTGCGAGGGCGACGAGTGCACGTTGATGTCGCGGTAGGGGAGGGCGACGCTCATGGTGGGCGATTGATTCGTGGAGGGCGAGGAGGGGGGAGCTCTGGGCTCTGGGGGTCGACAAGGGGGTGCGGGTGGTCCCGTCGTGGGCGTGTGGTGGTGAAGGAGAATTACTATGGCGTGGTGTTTGGCGCTATCCGGGGCGTAGTGGAGGCGTAGAGCATACGTTGTAGGTAGGAATTACTGTCTCGCGCAGGCCATACGGGGCCCAGCGTTTCGTCATGGCGGCCACTGCGGCGCCAGGGTCCCCGACTCGTGCGCTAAGGCCAAGCACCTGGCACCTGGCACCCAGACGGAACCACGACGACTTGGTCACAGCAGCAACCACTCCCACATCCACCACCACCACCACCACATCCACATCCACTCCCTCGTCTGCCTTCCTCACTACGCCCTCCCCTCAAGCACGCCCATCTGGCCCTCGCAGATCCAGCCCGCCCTCGTCGCCTACACAGCCATCACCACGACCACCGCCGCCTGATAGCGCCGCGTCATTCTCGCCAACATGTCGGCAGGCAGGATGCAGCAGGGCCAACGACCCGGAGGCTCCAGATTCGCACAGTTCAAGCTCGTGCTGTTAGGTAGGCGTGCATGTGTGCCGTGTGCTGTGCCCCGACTGACCAGAGTGCAGGTGAATCGGCTGTCGGAAAGGTGCGCTAGCCCATCTCTCTGCCATGAGTGCCATGGGAACATGTACCAGAGCTAACCCGTCACAGTCGTCTCTAGTGTTGCGCTTTGTCAAAGTAAGCATGCACAGCAGGAAGCCCACCCGCCACTCGTCGCTGACTGTTGTAGGACCAATTCGACGACTACCGGGAGTCGACCATCGGCGCCGCCTTCCTTACCCAGACCATCGCCCTCGATGAAAACACAACGGTCAAGTTTGAGATTTGGGATACTGCTGGCCAGGAGCGGTACAAGTCCCTTGCCCCCATGTACTACCGGAACGCAAACTGCGCCGTGGTCGTCTACGACATCACACAAGCTGTAGGCATCTCTACGCTTTGGTCATGCACTAGGTACTGATACGCGCTAGGCATCTCTGGACAAGGCAAAGGCCTGGGTCAAGGAACTACAGCGCCAAGCAAACGAAAACATCATCATTGCCCTTGCGGGAAACAAGCTCGACTTGGTGACCGAGTCGCCCGACAAGCGCGCCATCTCGACGGCCGATGCGGAACAATATGCCCGCGAGGCCGGCCTGCTCTTCTTCGAGACGTCTGCCAAGACGAGCGAGAACGTAAAGGAACTCTTCACAGCCATTGCCAAGAAGCTGCCCATTGACCAGGCCGGCCCACGAAACCTGAGGCCAGGCCAGCAACGACCGGGCGTCAACCTGAGACCTGAGGCCAATCAGACACAGGGTCCTGCCGGCTGCAACTGCTAGACGGCCATGTAGGACTGGTTGTGTGAGTGTAGGTCTCTTGTATGGCGTGCATGGGCTAGTGTGTGACTTGAAGTGGCTGCACACGTCTACTAGAACAACTATGTGTGAGCTCGTTGTTGTGTTTCTTGTCGCGTCACCGTCTTCATTGTAGGACATGTCGGGCTTCTGGAGTAGGGTCTGTTTTGATTGCAAGTCGACATGTGTGTTTAAGAGCAAATATTGGGGCCACCTGATTCTTTAATTAATGATTTCAAAATCTCCTGCTCCCGACATTCGACATGTGCGTAGTAGACGATGTACTAATCAAAGCCGTAAGAGGTAGCAGGCGACGGTATTACTTACATGACGGTAGAAAGCTTATCCACCTGCAAACGAGGTAAGCACTAAACGCAAGGAGGCATCTTACCAAACCGCAACCTCAATGACGACCTAATTTGGATATATCTAAGATGGACCACACCTACATATGGATGTAGGCGAGATAGGGCGATGGCGATGGTGGGGTGAAGCGCCATCCATGGCACGTGCTTCTTATAGTAACGAATCCACTTGGTCTGGACAGGCAGTCCGACCATGCAGTTCATCCCTGGACACATACGCAACCCAGCAGGCCAAATCTCCCGATACTCGGGTTGCTACTTAACGTATCTAGTCTTCTCCCACTATCAGCGGGGGGCACAAGACTCGAAACCAGCAGCCAGTCGGCCCGAGTCCGTTGAGATTGAATCCGACATGCCCGCTACTATAAACATGTCGCGTGTCTGCAAGAAAAAAAACCGCTCAGCTCGTCAGTAGCAATTAAGCAGCAAACGAGCGGGAAGACATGGCCAAGAAGCCATTCACCTTCCAAGAGCAAATTAAGCACCCCAAGAGCAGCCCAAGCTCCGCAATCCAATGGCTTGCTGTGCTTGGTTATCAACAAAGCCTCGGGCCATGGCTTCCCAGCTTCCCTTTGCAGCACTAGCGCCTCGGTGCCCACAGCTAAACGGCTGCAGGCACATCAACCTCTTCCGTACTTTCAACCACTTTGTCATGTCCGATTCATCCATACCGCAGCGAATCCCAACTCTCCCTTGACCAGACCTGCCTGATTCGTCGCAGTGCAGCTGCAACACCCCGGACTTGCGCAAGCAGGGCCCAGTATTTGCCTCTACACGACAAGAACGTAGCCAATGTCCGTAACCATAGCACGCGATCGGCATGCACCGAACATTCGCCTAGTTCCCCTGCCGTTTCGAAGTGACCTCCAGCGACCACCATGGTGCTGCTCTAGTCATTTCTTGACGAGGCTTAAATAGCCCTCAAGTCCCCTCATGCCTCTCAATGTGCGCGTGTGCTGCTTCCTTGTCTTTGACACGTCTCTCCACCTGCCTTGCCCAAAATGCACATCTTTGCCTCTGTTCTCTTGACTGCTGTCGCTGCCCGGGAGGCCTTTGCCTCTCCGGTCCGCGCTCGATCCCCTTATCTTGTCAAGGAAACACACCCTTCGCCCCGAGGATGGACCAGGCTTGATCGTGCACACGGTGGAAAGACGATTCAGCTGCAAATTGGTCTTAAACAAGGCCGATTTGACGAGCTCGATCGCCATCTTCAAGAGGGTACGTTCATCACAACCTACCACTTCAAACCCCAATCCATTCAATATGCTCATATGCCACAGTTTCTGACCCTGACCATGCTCGTTATGGCCACCACCTCAGCGCCGATGAGGTGGATAAGCTCGTTGCGCCTAGCTCGGAAACCTATGACTTGGTTCACGAGTGGCTTCGCGAGAACGGCGTCAGCACCGACAACATGGCCTACAGCTCCGCCAAGGACTGGATCATCGTCCATCTACCCATTGAGATGGCTGAAAGCTTGCTTGACACCGAGTACCACACCTACAAGCACAAGGATGGCTCCCTTGTCGCACGTACCACCTCGTGGTCTCTGCCGCGTCACTTGCACGATCACATTGATACCGTTCAGCCAACTACCTCTTTTTTCCGTGGTGCGGCTAACGAGGCGACCTATATCAACGAGGCTGCTGAAGTGCCTGCGAGCTACAAAACCCCCTCAGACGCTTCCATCTCTGCTGTCTGCAATGTGACCTCTGTCACACCAGAGTGCTTCCAAACTCTTTACAAGACCAAGTGGTATCAGACCAAGGCCAGCAACAAGAACAGTATTGGCTTCACCAACTACCTTGGCGAGATTCCTATCCGTCCAGACGCCAAGCTGTTCCTGGAAAAATACCAACCCGCGGCTGTTTCACAAGCCTATGCTTTCAAGGCAATCTCTATTGACAACGGCCCTGTTCAAGATGGTCCCTTGACAGCCAATCAGTCCGCCAATGGTATCAGCATGGAAGCCAACTTGGATGTGCAGGCCATTGCTGGAATCAGCTACAAGACGCCCATCACCTCATTCTCGACGGGTGGCGAGCCTCCTTTCAACCCAGACATTAACACGCCAACAAACACCAACGAACCCTACCTTGTCTGGGTCAACTGGCTCCTGAACCAACGCTCGATTCCCCGCATCATTTCCACCTCTTATGGTGATGATGAGCAGACTGTCCCCCGCTCCTATGCCGAGCGTGTCTGCCGTCAATTCGCCCAAGTCGGTGCACGAGGAACAACTCTCTTCTTCTCCTCGGGCGACCACGGCGTCGGTGGCACAAACACATGCTTCACCAATGACGGCAAGAACAAGGCCCAATTCTTGCCTTCGTTCCCCGCTTCCTGCCCCTATGTCACTGCCGTCGGCGCAACTATGAACTTTGAGCCAGAGGAGAGTGCATACCGCCCTTCGCGCAACACATCTGCCGGTTTCCGCGACCTGTACTCCAGCGGTGCTGGCTTCAGCAACTACTTTGCCCGCCCCTCGTACCAAGATGGCGTTGTGCCCAAGTACGTCAAGAGCCTCGGCAACGCGTACGAGGGCCTGTACAACAAGACTGGCCGTGGATACCCCGATCTCTCTGCCCAAGGCCTCTTCTTTGCCTACTTCTGGAACGGCACCGAGGGTATCATTTCTGGTACTTCGGCTTCGTGCCCCTTGACTTCTGGTATCTTTTCGCTCGTCAATGACGCCCTGATCGCCTCTGGCAAGCCCGCGCTTGGTTTCTTGAACCCCTGGCTGTACAAGAAGGGATACAAGGGCCTTACCGACATCAAGAAGGGATTCAGCTACGGATGCAACGTTCAGGGTTTCCCTGTTACCGAGGGCTGGGATCCTGTTACTGGATTCGGTACGCCTGATTTTCCCAAGCTGCTCCAGCTTGCTGGTGCAGACAAGTAAATGTACTTCTTCTTTTTTGATGAGGTAGAAAAACCCTTTAGGCATGGAAAAAAAAAGGAGGCATCTATATGTAAATATGAGTATATTTCACCAGGGCTAGCTTAGGCTGTGTACGTAATCATGAAATGAAATCAATCACAACATATTGTTCCAAATCGTGTTTTGCATCGTGATTGGTTGTTCCAAATGCAACAAACGTAGTTTATTTCGTCATTCAGTTAAGGTCAGCCGTTTTTCACCTTGTAACACCTTAAATCCCCAGCCTTTTCACAAGGCGTTTCCATTGAGCGTTTGATCGTAGCAGAGGGACGTATTCCCGACAATTTTCATCCAAGACGTGGGTGAGCAAACCATGGTCATGGCTAATAGTGCACCCCATTCGAAGTAGCAACATCAGGGTTGGGGTAGTACCATGCTGCCACCGCCACAATGACGTATACAATCTATTCAGGTGTTGACATTAGCAAATCGATCACTTCAACACGACAGTAAAGAGAAAATAGAACACTTACAATCAACATGGCGCCCTCGAGGTAATTCGACTCACCGTCGCGGAGGAAGTTTCCAACCACGACAATGGACAAGACGAGCAGGACAATCATGAAGATCTCAAAGTTGAGATCCATTTCCTTGCCCATGAACCAGCCTACAATGACAACAAACGGGGCATTGAAGAGAGCCGTTTGGATCGAGGGGCCGATGCAGTGGAAGAGAGCGAAGTTCTATTTTGCTGTCAGCACACAGTGTATCTCCGAATTGGAGAAGAAGAGGGAAAAAATGCAACATACAATCTGACCATCCCATGCTTCGTCGATAGCAGTAAGATGCTCTGCTGCCTTTTCAACTAGAGGAAGCAAAATGAGGCCAAGGAACTGGTCGGGAACACCAGACTCGACAACGTCTTCGATGCGCTCGACGAGGAAGACGGCGAGAAGCGTAACGATGGCCAGGGAAAAGGTAATGGCGACGAGACATTCTGTCATTGTGAACTTGGGCTTGGCAACATCTTCGTGGTGGTCCAGATCACGGTGCTCGTCGGCTTCGAGGACTTCATCGAAAATGGAATGCTGCGAGCGGGCGTTGTAGAAGATGAAGCTTGCGCATGTTAGCACACGACACTTACCGTGGCTTGGCAACTTACATGAAGAAAGCGATAATGAGGAGGATCGAAGTCACCTGACTGATCTTGAGAACATTGTGTTGCAGGATCTTCTCGGTAAATTCATGGTGCTTTGATGCTTTTTCCACAGCTGAGCCCTTGAGCGCAGAGTAGTAGGCGCTGGGGATGAGGAGACCAAAACCGGCGACTAGCAACAGGCCGCTGCCGACTTCGCTAATAGCAGCGTGGAACTTCTGGCTCGCTTGTCTCAAACCTCCGACAAAGAAGCAGCTATTTTGTACAGTATCAACATGATGTTTTACGGCTAGTGGGTGGGGAGATACTCACAGTCCAAGGCAGAGCAGCAAGTTGGTAAGAATGGAGCCCAGAATGGCAGCCTGGATAACAGGAATAAGGTTTCCGTGCTCTGAGGATCCATGCTCGGAGTTGTGTTTCGCAATAAGAATGACAAACAGGATGATTTCAACAATGGAGCCAAATGCCGTCTCGATCAGGATACCAGACACCTTTGGCATCTTGCGTGCAAATTCCTGGCCCGCGAAACCAAGAAGATTGGCCGCAGGCACCATGGCAATATAGCTAGTTGCAAAGACGGCAAGCGGCAGGCCCGGTGCCGCAAAGTGCAAGACAATGGCCACAACGACAAAGGGCCAAAGCAAGTTGGTGTACTTTGCAGCATTGCTGCCAGACCGCCATGCGACGTTGATGAAATGAGACAAATGGAAGCCCCGGCGTCCACTCTCACCATCTGGATGAATGTGCTCGGGGATAATGCCGTGCACGGCTCCTAGCAGAGGCACTGATTCAGACTGTCTGCCATTGTTGCCGCGGTGGTGATCGTACAGTACGCGCGACACGTTGTGCGAGCTATCATGCCCATGGTGGTTGGAAGGCATAATTGCCGGCTTTGCCAAAAGTGAAAAAGGAACTTCGACAGAAAACAAAAAAAAAAGTGACTCTCGAGAGATACAAGCAAACGTGTGTACAATTGGGGTTGAAGTAGTGGGTGTGGAGAGATGGAGAATGGAGACAGGGAAGCTTAGGGAAGCTGCACGTCTGTGTTGGCGGGGACAACCGCCCGCCACGACTCGCGACTTTTTTTTTGCCCAGCCCATTCGCGGCTGAGAGGCTGGGCATAGACGGAAAACAAGGCGACACCGCCATTCTTGAAACAATTATTACCAGTTTCGACGAACCAGCATGGGCACCAGATGGGCTGATTGGATAATCATTTACATGTGAGGTATTAAATTGTTTTGAGGCGCAGCAGTATCTGCAACTCCGACTTGCCAGCGCGTTTTGCAAAAACCTGGTGGAGCAACTTACCGGGACGCGTACAGCTTCAACGATGAGTTCTCCATTCCCACAATCACTAGTATACTTTGTTTGATCCAGTTCTGGTAGTAACCTTGCCGGACTAGACCCAACACAAACGTGGGGAACTATCATAGGATGGTCTTATTCCGGCCTCATGCACCGAAAAACCCCTGTGCAACATCATCTTCCCCGGTCGATCACAGCTCCATCCAGACGGCTTGCGTATACTTCCGGAAAGCGTAAGAACATGCTGCATCTTTTTTAACTTGGGGAGTTGCCTTATTGAATACTCCTCACAAAGCAAAGAGACTGCAAAAAGCAAGCAACAGTCTTGGTTATTGGAGGTTCTTTGGTTTTGACTAGCTCGATGCGGTGTTTGTTTAACTAGAAACAGTAATGTTCTGTTCCGATGATGTCATTGATTGATCCTCAGGTCTGCATCTCCGGGTCGTCAGTTGCGAGCAAAAAAAGAACGAGAGGAAGAGTGAAATACGTGATGAGGAAGAGGCAACGACAGATACAAACTAAATGACAAAATTCAGGAACCGACGTGAAATTCTTGACGCATAAGGGGACAGGGAATTCTATCTAATTTCAGACGCCAATGAAGTCTGTAAATCTCCTGTGGAATAAACCCCCGACCCAACAATTCCACATGGACTAGAAGGAATATCCAAAATCCTTGAACTCAGTATTGTTTCCTTTGGAACAGTCATCCAACATGGAGGGTATGTCGGGAATTTCGACCTTGGTTTTCCAGACGCATGTACAGGGATGCCACTACCTTCTTCGTCGCTATAATCTTTGCATGTAATGGCCAGGAATTGTCTTCTATACTTTCGCTACGAATATTATCAAATCAAAATAGTTTTTGTGGGAGCCAGCCCGTAAAATCAGATACTGAAAGCTGCATGGTCGAAAATCAACTCATGGGTGCAGATCTGTCGAGCATTCAAGGCATGAATTCGCTACAAGATTATGATTGCAAATTCTTAAAATCTCCATTGATGAATTTCACGACGGTCAAAGATGAGAAATAAAATGTATCAAACATGGTCGGTACATGAACTGGGAAAAATAAGCCTGTTGGTTGGCGAAGACTATTGTTTGCCGCCGAGCTGTTACCCAGAAAATCCTAGGAAACTTTCATTAACTAAGCTTAATTAGGAAGAATACAAATAAACGAGTTAAGGGGTACGTATGAATATACTTGGAATGTCTCGTCAATTGGTGTTAAATTCGTGGCTTGTTGTTCAAGATAGATGCATTGCTTACTATCGTCACATTCGCTAGCGCAGCCGTTGCATAATTGATCGAGAGGATAAAAATAAAATTTGCGACTAGTAAGATAGGGTATCATGACCTCAGATCAAGTAGTAACAAGTGAAAGGAAGCGGAAGCAAACCTTCCCCGCACTTATCCCCAAGCATACAACATCCCCACTTATCTCATCCTTGATAAGCCTCATCTGCCCAGATTGTTCACTCTTACCATGACAGATTCGCTTTTAATATCATACTGTCTTCGTGAAACTTACCTCGAACCATTCCGATAACATTAAATTCAATGACCCGCACGCTTCGTATCGCAGCAGCACAGGTAGGCGCCGTGCATCGCAGTGACGACCGCCAACATACCTTATCACGACTCATCGCATTACTCGAAGATGCCGCTTCCCAAGGCGCACAAATAGCCCTATTCCCCGAGTGCACTTTTACAACATTCTTCCCTCGCTACCTCATCACCGACAAGGAGGAGCTTGAATCATTTTTCGAACACGGTGACATCACCACGGCAGATAGCACCAAGGGTATTTTCGAAAAGGCAAAAGAGCTAGGCGTAGACATCTGCATTGGGTTTGCAGAAGCAACAGACGAGAATGAGTATTACAATACTTGTGTCTACTACCATGCCAAGTCCGGATCTGTGCTATCAAAGTACCGCAAGGTACATTTACCGGGAGACGTTGAACCCTTTTCCGACCCGGATGCTGTCAACCAATTGGAAAAGCGATATTTCAAGCCTGGGAACCTGGGTTTTCGTGCATTTCGTGTGCCTGATCTAACAGTAAACACGATTGGCCAAGGGGAACCAATACTCGGGATGATGATATGTAATGATAGACGGTGGGCAGAAGCATGGCGATGTCTTGGTCTCCAGGGCGTAGAAGTAGTGTTTGTAGGATTCAACACTCCAGGTTACGCGCCGCACATGTGGGGCACGGATTCAAGCCCACAGGAAGCACATGCTGATGCTATCTTCCAGCACAAGTTGGTCATGCAGGCGCATTCATACACGAACTCTTGCTTCTCAGTTAGCGCGGCTCGATGTGGTTTGGACGATGGCAAGTATGATCTTGTAGGTGGTTCGACAATCGTTGGGCCTGATGGAAAGATCATAGTCGAGAGTCAGACGGAGGAAGACGAGGTAATCATTGCAGACTGTGAGCTCGATCGGTGCGTGCCTGGCAAAACACGAACATTTGATTTCGCCAGACATCGACAAACAGAACACTATAGCATCTTGACTTCACAAACAGGCGTAATCGAGCCACCCAGACTCACGGCACCAGACAACAACAACAACAACAACAACAAGAAGAGTGGCCCAACAAACGGCACTCACACAGTAGAAATACAATCCATAACCGGCATCCCTTCACCCCGCCAAATCCGCATTCTCCTCTGCAACCCCAACGCCACATCCTCAATAACAAACGCCTGCCTAGCCATGCTCAAACCAACCCTTCCCCCGGACGTCACAGTCGACGGCTTCACGGCACCCCAACCCGCACCCTCTGCCATCGAGGGCAACTTCGACAACATCATGTCGGCGGCAGCAGCAGCCCGAGCAATCATACCCATAGCCCACCAATACGACGCCTTCCTTGTCGCATGCTACAGCGACCACGCCCTAACCAAGATGCTAAGAGAAGAAGTATCCCAGCCCGTCATGGGCATAATGGAAGCATCTCTATATGCCGCTCGTACACTCGGCAACCGCTTTGGCATCATAGCGACATCGCAACGCTCACGGCACACGCTCGCCGACGCCGTGAGAAACTACGGTTTAGATGCTTTTTGCGTGGGCGTGCGCAGCTGCAACGTGGGCGTGCTGGAGTTGGAGACGAAAGCTGAACAAGAGGTTGCAGCCACTATGTGCGGGGTTGCACGCGACCTTGTGGCCCATGGCGCGGATACCCTGGCGCTGGGGTGTGCGGGAATGACGAATATGAAAGTTGCCGTTGAGAAGGCAGTGGGGGGTCATGTGCAGGTCGTCGATGGCGTGCTGGCGGGTGTACAGCATCTTGCTGGGTTGTGTAGATTTGGGTCAAGAACAGCGAAACAAGGCATGTATGCCAGTTCTTCTGCAGATCGGCGGCTCAGAGGTCAGGATTGGTATTAGATGTTAGATGGTGGGAGTGATGAGTTTGTATACTAGACGTTCTTTTCTTTTTTTTTTTTTTTTTGAATTCTTTGGGCCTTGTGTCAAAGTTAAGAACAAGAAAAGATAGCTGGATTGATATCGTGACAAGTGGGTTTTGACTTGAACAACAGACCTAAACATCTCATTGTGAGAGTACAAACAATGAGTTAGCAGTAGTAGGTTGGTGTGTGAAGGCAAATTCTCGTGGTGTCACAGTACAGACGCACGGGCATAGTTCTTAATGAGGCAAGCGAAGTGACTGACCAAGGTACCCATGCATGCAGGATTCGTATACAAACTCTTGTTTCGACTGCAATACAAACGGTGGGTATGAAGGAAACAACAACAACAGAGTGTCAAAGAAAAATGATCATTAAATTGTCTCTCCTCTACGGAAGTGAAGAAAAAAAAGAAAGAGCCTTGACTCCCTAACCATGCCGTGTGTGATGTGATGCGATGCAATGCGACGCCCAAAACAACCAAGTTATGCAAGTGAGGGGGTATCCTACGATCAGTATGCCGAAAAATACATGAAACAGAAAAACAAAACAAGACAAGGGCAAGGGATAAAGGTTCGCTACAAAAAAAAAGGTAGGCAACTCAAGATAAGAAAGTAAATCGAAAACTGGGCCCACCTCGCACCAGTAGCTACTAGCCATGCCCAGCATGGTCTGTATGAGATGGAGCATTCATCTACGTGAGCGTCTTGGTCGACTACTCGACTCTCCATTGCCACGACTGCGTCCCGACGAGGTCTGCGAAGTGCTCATGCAGTCCCAGTTGAAAGGAATTTGAGAAGTGGGTATAGTAACACCTTCATAGCGATGCAACCTCGCACGCCTTGGGGGAGGAGAGGGTTGCGCAAATGCCTCTTGGCGAACTTCTTCAAGCGCTTGGTTTGTGGCAGCCAGGACGGCAAAGCGTCGGTCCGGTACACGACGGACGGTCGTGTTGGGTGTGCGAGGACGAGCTTGGCGCGAAGACGTTGTTGATTGTTCGTGCCGGCGGGGCCGATGTTGACGGTGCTGAGAGCGCGAAGACTCGGGACTTGGCTGAAGGGTAGTGGAAGAGTAGTAGTGGCGTGACGAACGATGACTACGGGGTGAAGACTCAAGAGTTTGGTAGCTGCGAGGTTCGCGCTTTGGTGTCCTTGGTGGAGAAGTCGCAAAGAAAGACCAGCCACGTGAAGGCTCAGGCCGGATGTTCTTCTTTGACTTTGAATGCTTGGGAGGGTCACGCTTTGCTCCGCGCCCGTGCAGAGTGCCTTGGGATGATTGCGTGGGGTGCCGTCGCCGATGGTGTTGACTTCGGTGGGGTCGTGGGTTCAACAGAGTCTCTTGAGATGAATTAAGAGTTTCCGGCTCGAACGAGCGCCGGTATTCCTGTGGTACCTCTACATTCAGGGCTGATCGGTAGTGCTCGCGTCTCCGGTAGGCATCCTCATATTGACGCTGTGATTGGGGAGGGTGGTCGTCCCTATGTTGTTGGCGGCGCGGGGAACGTTGCGCTGGCAGGGTGGAGTCTCCAGATCTTCTTTTCCTGCTAGAGTCCTTTGAGCTGCGCTTCTCTGAGTATTGCTCAACGATTGGCCTTCCATTCCCGCGAAGCGCGCTGTCCGCCGGCGCGTCCCGCCTCTTCTTTTCCCCGGACGATGACGACGACGAGGTCTTGGGCTTCCTGTTGGCCGGAAGGCCAAAGTTGAATGACCAGCACATAGCGACCAAGACGCAGATCTTGTATCGCTATGCGACTGGTATTTGAGTCCAATATCAAGGCTCAACAGAATGGCAGCAGCGTGCATAAGGATGCCGAAGTTCGGAACAGCCGACAGAGCCAAGATGTGCACAAAGAGGGGTGCAAATGTGTTACGCTCAAGGCAGACAAGGCGAACCAATGGACAGATAAAAGGATTCAGCATCCCAGGGCAAAAGGGTGGATTGAGCAGAGAAGGGAGGGCTTGGAGACTATGATATCATGTAGAGAGGACAAAGAGAGTTCCGGGTCTGGCCTGAGAGCAAGAACACCGCATTCGTGACATGGAGGCCGGATTCCAATAGAGCACATGGCCTGAAGCTAAATCTAGAAAGGATTCAATTCACAGTGCCTGGCATTGTCGTTTTGCGCTCCAATCAGAGGAGGGCTCGGTTGATGGTGTGCGACGGACAGAGCGATTCGCAAGTTAGCAAAGGGTGGCTTACTGGGCCACATGACACCTCTGGCTCCAGCTGATCGACTCATCTTTCCGGCGCGCTGCAGCCAGCAGTCTGCTGTGAAATGGAGTGTAGAAGAGTGGAAACGGTGCATGGAGATTGACAGGCCGTCTTATATGGTGCAGCATTGATTGTTGTGGCAGCTACTGCTTGAGCGTGTGCTGTCTCTGGGCGTACCTGCGTCGCTGCTACGTGGCACCTGTGCTGGACAGAAGAAGGGCGGGACGGTTGCGGGACGATCCTGGGTGCAGAGTTGGGTGATCTGACGACAGTGCTAGGGGCACCTAGGAGGGTGACGGAGATGCTAGCTGCATGATGGTGGTCGCTGGTCCAAGTGGGCTGATGGATGATGATGGCCGCCTGACCGCACGAAAGGGACGGTTGCTGGGTTCCTTATCGTTATCGGGTTGGGGCCGACGTCATTGGCCCGCGACGGGCCTCGCTCACCTCGACCTTCCAGCCATGTCCCATCATCGCCAGCTTTCCAGGGCTGCACGGCCGCGGGAGAGTGCATGTTCCTGCTTCTGACACGGCTAGCACAGACGTCGTTCATCACACAACTGCGCCTCCATGACGCCCGCCACCGCCGACTCGAACCAAGCCATAGTAGCCCCGAGCGCGGCCAGCCAATTGCAGCCAGCAGCCGTCGACTCGCCTACACCACGGCGGCGCTTACAGTCCACCGAGCCTCTTCTCGGGCCAAACAGGGCGTCATCCGTCTCGCGGCCTGTCCCAACACAACGACAACTGAGACAAGGACGATATCGGACAAGCCGAGCAGGGCCGAGGGGGCGGTCAGCAATCAGTCATGAGCGGGCTGTACTTGGACAGCATGCCCAGGGGAGAGTCGTATTCGATTACATGCTGCCAACACCAACAGTTGCGGCGAGTGGAGATTCGGATGCGAGTCTGATGAGTCGTACAGCAAGTAGCAGTTTGTCGAGAGTAGTATGCAATGCACACAAGTAGTAGCACGGCTTGGCAGGGGTGCGCTGTGGTGATCATCAGCGTCTGTATCACTGTGGCGTAGGACAAACTTTGTGCGTGATTCCAAGTGTGCGCTTGAATCAATCTTCGCGCCGCTTCATACTTACTTTGCTCACTAGTACTCGGCAAAAGAGCAACGGGCATGACCATGTCGGGACTCAACACACACTAAATCCCGACTTCAGAGTGGGGTATCCACTCTCCACCCCGCTGGCGTCATGTTGACACGAACAATCGATGCGCCATATCAGTAGTTCCCCCCAACCGACGTTGAACATCACACGACATCTGCACAGACACGTAGCTGATAGTACGCTCAATGCCTCTGATCGCACAGAATCCAAAAGACCGGGTCATCCTCGGTTTGATGACCTTTGGTACGCGTTGACACTGCGGGGGTTCAAGTGCGCCTGGTAACACTGAGTAGGCCCCGATGAGAGCAGCGGCGCGCGTATCACCGAGTTTGATGAGTTTACCAAACACCTCGATTACTTCCAGGCGCAGGGCTACAATGAAGTTGATACTGCGCGCATGTATGTCGGCGGCAAGCAAGAAGCATGGACGCGCCAGGCTGGTTGGAAAGAGCGTGGCCTTACTCTTGCTACCAAAGTCTACCCATTCGAGGCTGGCGTCCACAAGCCCGAGAACTTGAAGAAGCACTTCACCACTAGTCTGCAAGAGCTTGGCGCCGACTGCGTGGACATCTTCTATCTCCATGCGCCCGACCATAGCGTGCCGTTTGAAGAGACGCTCAGAGCAGTCAACGAGCTGCACAAACAGGGCAAGTTTGTCAACTTGGGCCTGTCAAACTTCGCAGCATGGGAGGTTGCCGAAGTTTACAACATCTGCAAAGAACGAGGATGGGTCAAGCCGACCATTTACCAGGCCATGTACAATGCCATTAGTAAGTCTGACCCTTTTGGCGCAAGAGCCACTGCTGACACTACTCAGCTCGCGCCATTGAGCCGGAGCTTGTTCCCGCATGCCGCAAGTATGGCATTGATATTGTCGTCTACAACCCTTTGGCGGGTGGCCTCTTTTCCGGCAAGATCAAGTCCAAGGACATCAAGCCTGACGAAGGCCGGTTCGGGACCAAAGCTGACCGCATTGGCACAATGTACCGCGATCGCTACTTCAAGGACGCGACGTTTGAGGCCCTCAAGATTGCAGAGGAAGCTGCTCAAAAGCACAACTTGACGCTGCTTGAAATTGCACTGAGATGGTGTGTTCATCACTCCGAGCTCAAGACACGAGTCAAAGGCGGCAATGACGGTGTCATTATTGGCGTCAGTAGTCTCAAGCAACTCGAGGGCAATCTCGCGGATCTGGAGAAGGGACCTCTGCCTGATGATGTTGTCAAGGCGTTGGACGAGGCATGGATGGTTTGCAAGGCAACTGCGCCTACGTACTTTCGGTAGATGGGCCGGTGTTTGGTTGCTGTACCGTACCGGCGTTAGCTGAATAGTCAGCGAAACTCATTAGTCATCCAGTTCCGATTCCGAGGGGCATTCCAGTCGACTTGGCAATTGCCTTGATTGGAAGGTGCAAACAAGGCCGTACTACTTAGAGACACCTCGTTGGAGGGCGTATGTTAGTCCATCTATAAACCTGTTCACCACTGTGTAGGATTCAGGTTCATTCCGCCTCGACATCTCACTGGCCATCATGTAGGATTCGGAGAAATGTTCAGATGACAGTGGTAATACTGGATATCACTTACATTCTACTTGATGTGGGGCGCAGGATTCAGGCAACTACCTGCATAAAACGACACCCTTTTCTACACCTGGGACCGTCTCTCCAGTCCCGTTATCTTTTTGCATAATTTTGGGCATTTGGTTGCAACCATGGCGCAAACCGAGACACGCCCTGTTACTATGCCTGCTGAGCAACAAGGCCCCCAGACCAGGCCGGTAGAGCCTGGGATGCGCTTAAAAGACGACGACATGCGGATTGAAATATGCACAGTAGAAGATGCAATGACGCTTGTAAGTGAGCAACACGGTGACGAGAATGAGCGCACAAGCTCGATAGACACATTTCACGTACTTACGCCGCTCGACAGGCGCAAGGACTTCGCGCCTGCTATTCTGCAGAAACCTGGGACAAGAAAGAGCCGGCCGCACAGGGTCGCCCAGATTCGGACAGGCTGGAGCGGCTAGCCAAACGCCTTGTTCCTGTGCTTGCACATTCCGAGTTCACCGTCATCAAAGCCGTGCTTGCATCGACAGGCGAGGCCATCGGTGCAGCGTGCTGGGGTCGTCCAGATGGCAACATTGCCCAAGACCCCTTTCGCCGCAGCGCCATCCCATTCTACAACTGGCAAGAGTCGCTGGGCTGGAGTGAGGCATTCGTCGACGAATTGTGGTCGGGCGTGACGGACAGTTGGCACCAGGGGCAGGCAAAGGACGACGAGGAGCGGGCGCAGACGATGAAGGGCCAGGCGCATTGGTTCCTTGCGCTGCTCATCACGTGGCCGGACTTCCAGGGCCGCGGGGTTGCGAGGAGACTGCTTGACTGGGCGATTGAGCAGGCAGACGCACAGGAGCCGCCGACGCCCATGTATCTCAAGTCGAGCAAGATGGGGAGGCGGGTGTACATGCACGTGGGGTTTGTGCCTGTGGGGGAGAATACGATGGTGAGGCGGGGACGGGTGGAGTAGTCGTGGTGGTGGTGGCGGCGGCCTTGACTCGCTGGTGCGGCGGGAGTGGCATGTCTTCGCATAGTACACGCTGCACAAAACAAGCACCTCTACACATTTCCGTACTCGCGTTGTTGCGTTCGTGGATGCACGGGACGCAGATGAAGATGGACATGATGGCCAGAGACATGAGATGGCCGTGTGTGCTGGGCACGTGGCATGGCCTGTTTTCGGGCACGTGGCATGACGTCAGCACCCGCCCGTCCCACGTGCATGCACATGTGAGAAGCGAGAAAGCAAAAAAGAAAAAAAAAGGCCGGTGTGTCCACATGGGCAAATGGCAAATGTCGACGCGCGGGGCAGAGCAGGATGCCAAAGACAGGCGGGCGGTTGCTGGCGGCCGAGGGCACGACGTCGGGCGGATGGCCGGATGGGAGGCTGCTTAGCGTCCTTTTTGGTCGCGTCAGGCCGAGCCTCCCCAAACATGGCGGGCGTGCGTGCGGGCATACCTATCGCAGCACCACGACCACCATGATGGTGCGATTGACGCCGCTGCGCCTGCTGAGCGCCGCGTTGCTGCTGTGCACCCTGTTCCTGACGACTCTGCTGCCGCGGCTCTGGCGGGGCGACCGCGGCTACGAGCTGCTCGTCGACCGGCCCCCTCCCGCCGGACCTGGGCCCGTCCCCAAGGTCGTGGTGCCCTTTGGCCAGGAATGCGCCCCCTTCACCGCCGGCGTCATGGACGACGTGACCATTGTCCTCAAGATCGGCGCCGGCGAGGTCGCCTCCAAGCTGCCGCAATACCTCAACCGCCTCGGCCGCTGCAAGCAGCATCTGCTCATCTTCTCCGACCGCAAGGACTCGTACAACGGCTTCGACATTGCCGACGCCCTCGCCCACCTGCGCCCCGAGTACAGGTTCAACAACCCCGACTTCGACGTCTACGACTACATCCAGTCCGTCAACCTGACTACCGACAAGTCGCCCGATGGCTGGCGCCTCGACAAGTACAAGTTCCTGCCCATGATGGAGTGGACCTCGTACCTGCGGCCCCAGTCGCAGTGGTACGTCTTCCTCGAGCTCGACACGTACGTCAACTACGACAATCTATACCGCTTCCTGTCCAACTTCAACCCACGCACGGCCTACTACTTTGGCTCCCCCGTCTGGCCCAAGAAGAAGGCCATTTTTGCCCATGGCGGCAGTGGCTTTGTGCTGTCGCGTGCAGCCCTGGACAAGATCATGGCACTCGGCCGCATGTTTGGCGAGAACAAGCATTTCCCAGGCACGCACTTCTTCGGCGTCGACGTACAGAAGCAGTGTTGTGGTGACGAAATCCTAGCCCAGGTCTTGAAGAAGAGCGGCGTCTCCCTTCGAGGCTACTGGCCCATGTTCAATGGCGAAAAGCCAGTCACCATGCGCTTTGACAGCGAGCAATGGTGCGAAGCAATCATGACCATGCACCACCTCAACGACGAAGACTTTACCTCACTCTCGCAATGGGAAAAGGAGCGCTCGCACCCCGAACGACCCCTCATGTTCGAAGAGCTCTTCACAATGATTGAACCCCACATCCGCCGCGAATCCGAAGACTGGTCCAACCTCTCCGAAGACGTGACGTACAAACCAGGCAAAAAAGCCTCCAAATCATTCGAGCACTGCCGCAAAGCCTGCATCAATGACAGCAGCTGTATGCAGTTCCAACATACCGGCACAGAGTGCCGCCTCGGCTACTCGATTCGTCTTGGCCACCACCAGCCTCGCGAGGGCGACCGCCAGTGCAGGTCCGGATGGATGCTCGATCGCATCAAAGCGTTTAAACAGGCCCGCTCTCCGTGTCAGGGCGCCCGCTTTGTCCATTCTAATCCCTGAATCATGTGCCTTCCCCCTTTTCTCTCTCTCCCTTCCCCCCCCCCCCCACTCACCTCACCTCAACCTTCACAGAAAAGGGAGGAAATGAAAGATGCTAAAAAACGATGATAATGAAATGTCCTTGTCTTTCTTCTTTCTTTTCGTTTTCCAACCCTCCCCCCCCCTTTTTTTTTTGAATACGAAGTTTACGGCATTGTATACGGCGTTTGATACCCAGAGGCGTTTATCTCTCTCTTTTTGATATGTTTATCCATTGTTTTTTTGGGGGGCTTTACATCAGTTCACGTACTATAAATACGTACTTTGTTGTATTCTGGGAGTTTTTTTTTCTTCTTCTTGCTTTGGAGGGAAAGGGGGGGGGGTGCGCGGGTTGCCATTTGTCTAGATAAGAAAGACATGACAATACGGCCTTGGGTAATATCAATAGCAAAGACTCATGATTTCTGACGTTTGATTGTTTTGTAGTGTAATGCAGTATGAAACGGGCAATGTGTGTTTTTTTCATTTGCTTCAAAAGTGGAAATAAACTGGCAGGGTTGGATAGAATTAGAGCATACTTTGGGATAATCATGGGGCCAAATTGTTTCGCAAATACTTTCATTAACTTGACCTATCTTTGAAACTGTAAAAGAAAGGAAGCGGTATCACTTTTTTTTCAAAAATCTCTCTCTCCCTCTCTCTCGCAACCAACCGGCACCACTTTGGAAATCATGATTCGGTCACCAGCACCCAAACTTACTCTTACATGAACTGGATTTGATGAAGAAAATGAGACCGAATCATAGAAGGAAAAAGAACAAGAAGAAACAAAAAAGACTCGGCCAAAGCATCAGCCAATTTACCTCTTCCTCTTCTTGCCCTTGCTGTTCTCGTCGTCATCATCATCCAGCGCAGCCTCCTTGTCCTTCTTGGCTGCCTTCTTGTCCAGCTCGTCCCAGCTCTCGCCCTCGGAAAACTCCTCTTCCGACCCTTCGTCGCTCATCTCGTCCGACGCATTCTCGTCAAAGTCGCTCTCATCAGACGACTCGTCTGAAATGGCCAGCTCTGACTCCGACACCTCAAACGCAGACTCTTCTTCTTCGTCACCATCGCCTTCGTCGTCTGTCTCGGTCGACAGGAAGGACCATCCACCGTCAGCGAAGAACTGGTGCGGGTCAGATGTCACAGTCTTCATGATGGTGGCCCAGTTAAGGTTCAAGGGTCCCTCGGTAAACGGAATATCGACAGAGTCCAGCCAGTCCTTGACCGGGTCCAGCGACTCGACCGGAATCGTGTTGATGTGTACGGGTGGGCGGTTGTAGTCCTTGAACACAACAACCATGTCAAAGTTCTTAAGACCAAACTGCACACGTTCAAGATGCACAATCTCAATCTCTGAAAGGGTAAGGCATGTGAAGGGAGGCTCAGTAAGCTGGACCAAGCAGTCGGTTGTCGGTTGCACAAGAACCGAAGATCGTGAGGGTACACCGTTGAAGCCAAGCTCACGGTACGGGATATCGACGCTGACGTTCTCATTGCGTGCAGCATCAGCAATCTTCTCGGCAAAGTTCTTGAACTCCTTGTCGAGAGCCGCACGTCGCCTACGCTCCTCCTGTTCTTGTTCAAACTCTTCCTCGTCACCAAACTTGTGCCGGCGCTTACGGTTGCCCGTCTCGTCGAACTGCATCTCTGTGGCTTCTCGGACAAACTGCACATCCTTGGTCTTCTTCTTACCAAGCATAATGGGGTTCTTGAGATGGACATGGATGATGACAATCAGCTCGTGTTGCGATGGCTGGAAGAACAGGTGTTTCATGTTGCTGAAGAGCACGTCGATCTTGGCGGTTCCGTTGCCGTGGACGTAGCGTAGACCATTTTGGTGAATCTCAACGCTACCAGGGATACGCTTGCCGTCGAGTGCTGGGCGGATAAAAATGAGGTCGAGCATGTGGGGCTTGCGCGACTTGAGGGGAATGAGCTTGTCCTGCTCAACAACATCCTCCATCTGCTTCTTCTCAGTCTCACGTCGAACAACCTCCTTCTTCAGCTCGGTAATGTCTTTGGTAATTTGGTCGATGCGATCGACATCATGCGATTTGAATGTCAAGCTGCGGATGAAGTGTGCATTGGGGTCCTCGAAAGGCTGGTCATCTTTTCGGCCTACACCTTGACCAGGCGAAAGGAAGTTGATTCGAAGAGAGGTAAAGTCTGCTTCGGGAGTATGTGATGCGTTCTTGATGGTGTGGATGTGGAAGGGTACTGGTCGACCCATGATGGGCAGGAGAACTGTAAGGTTCTTCTTGTCGACAACAATCTCCAGATTAGCCACTGAGCTGGGAAGCTGATTGTCACGCTTGTACGACTCAAACTTCTTGAACTTCTTTTCTTCAGTGCCATTTAGCGACTTTGCACCCTCGCTGTACTGCTCGAGACCCTCGGCCTGCTTCTTAGCATGTAGCTCCTTTTGATGTTGTCGTCGTTGCTCCTCCTTTTCAGCGTCTTGGTTTGTTGTTCGCTCGTGGCGCGTTCGCGTCTTTGTGATGTTGGTCTGGGCAATGGCAGGGCGCTCTTTCTTCGCCTTGGGCTTGGCTTCTTCCTCTTCCTCGTCAAAAAAGAACGAGACGGCATCCAGGTCCGACGTGGTATCCTTTGTGAAGACAGCGCATTCGCCCTGTCCGACACGAACCGTGTCAACTAGCACAAGCGAGTAGTTTTTGCTCTTCTTGTCCTGTGGCTTGCTGTTTTCAAGGTCGGAGAAGCCAGTCTGAACAACAAGAGTCATACCGTCCTTCAATACACGGGTGTTCTTGCCGCTCAGAAGCAGCGAAGAATCCTTGTTCTCGACACCGATACCATAACCAAGGTTCTTGGGGAAGTGCTTCTCCCACTCTGGTTTCTTCGACTTGAGCATGGCAAGCGCTTTGTTGTAAACATCTTTGGCCACGACGCCATCACGGAGGGACTTGATGACTAAGTCATGAATGGCTAAAAGTAGTTTGTATGCATTCTCTTGCTCCTTGTTGGGGCCGACCATGTATGTTCGGCCAACCATGGCACCGTATGTCTGGTAGCGCAGACCAAGAACGGAAATGATGACGCCAGCGTGCAAGTTGTTCTCGTCGGGCTCGGCCGCAAACTTCAAGTCGTAGGAGCCACCACTCTGGATGGTAGGCTGCAGACACCAATCTAGCTGCAGCGAGTCAAATGTCTTGGACACCTTCTGCTTCTCGAAAAACTTGGCATCGTCAATCTTGTTGGCGACTTTGTCGGCAAGGGCGCGGTGAGAAATCTTCTTCTCGGAGTCGAGGATGTCGGACATTTCTTCGACAAAGTAGTTGGTCATGAGGGCACTCGAGGCTCGCGCAGCGTCGCGGATGGTCCTCAGTTCCTTCTCGTCCTTGACAGACAGGGCGGCATTAGACAGGATGGAGGCGAGATCGACCTGGTCCTCTTCCTTGAACGCAGCCTCGTCGAAGGCGGCTTTCCACTCGCTCGCAAAGGCGTTGTTTGCATTGTCCTTCTTCATGACGGCGACCTTCTTGCCGGCCTTTTTGATTGTGTCTATGCATGTCTGGAACTGCTTCTTGTTCTCCTCGGCGTCCTTGCCGCGCACCAGGATTTCGACAGGCACCTTTCCGCCCTTGAGCGGCTCAAGGTAGGCAGCTGCATCAGTGGCATTAGCACAATGCTGTAGTTTAGGCAGTCACACATGGCTCACCCTTCTTCTTGGTTGTCACAATCTGGACGAGGTCGGGGGTGATGACGAAGAGAGTGGCAGGGAATTCATAGCCTAGCAACCACAACTATGGGCTTGTCAGCTCGCCAGATGCGCAAACAAGACATGCGCAGACTTACCTGGAAAGCGGCGGGCTTCTGGTAGATGCCAGGCTCGCTCGCCTTACCGACCAGCGTCGCGATTGAACCTGCGCCCTGGAAAACCTGGTCACCTGAGCGCTTGTCGGCCTTCCACTTTGTGACGAGGTTGTTGAGGCGCTCGTGGAAGAGAGCCTTGTCAATGACGATGTCGTCCGCCATGGTTGAAGGTGCGTGGAATGAAACCTCCAGATGGGTTGGCGGGGACGGGCAAGAGGGAGTTGAGAGAGAGGGAAAGGGAGAGGGGGAGGAAGTCGGCGCTGATGGGAAAAGTCGCGAAGGCCTTGATGGCGACAACGACGCGAGGGCTTCCACGCGCTGCCTCGGGCCTGTGCGCAACCTCTCAATTCCCGAAGCGGCCTAGCGCCCAGCTACCTTCACTATGGCTGTATACACTAAAACCCCCTCACCCTCCAGAGCTAAACTGCAGCCCCACATCCCGGCCTTGCAGATGCAAATTACCAACTAGTACAACAACAACAACACTGTCGCCCTCTGAACTGGTTGCCCGTTTCTTTTCATTTCGCTCAGCTCGCCAATCGGTACGCTTCCACCAAGTATTCCCAAGTCACTAGCCCGCTTGTGACCCTCGCACGCGGAGCGCCTTCACCTTGCCTATATAGCCTGCCAGCGCCCTCGCATGCACCCCTTACCTTCTCTCACCTCCCATGCTATGCAATGACAGCCGGCTCCAGTGTCCGCGCTGGAGTCTCTGTCCGCAGCGATGGCCCCAATGATGGCGCCCCCGACACCCCGCAAGCACCCAACAAGGCACCAGCCACGGGCGTCCAGGCTGCGGGCATGCGAGCCGTCGCCGCCAGGATGGTTGCCTTTTACTTCCGAGCGCCTGTAAAGGCCTTCTTTAGGGGCAGGATCGACTACATGGGCTATGCCAGAGCCATCAACCCACATGTCATGGCTGATGCAAAGTGGTCGTGGAGAATGACTACGCCTGCCGTGCTTGCACATGCCATACGCACCGAAGGATGGGGCTTCATACCCAAGCAGGTACTGCCGCCGCTTATGGCGAATACATGGTATGCATACTCAGCGTCTGGCCCACACCGTGCCTAACACTATGCAGCATTGGTGCAGTTCTGTATACGACATACCTCCACAGCCTGTCAGCCCTCCACGAGCCATCCTCTTACCAGACCAAGCGTGTATACCCTCCCCCACCTCCGTCTGTCACCTTTACTGCAGGATTGATTGGTGGAGGTATTCAATCAGTATTCGCCGCTCCATTCGACGCCCTCCAAACCCGCTTCCGCACCGCCGACATCCTCGAAGGCAAACACAAGACCATGTGGCACTACGCAGGCTACAAGCTACGCTCAATTGGTTTGCAGGGCATTTTTGCTGGCTGGACCCTGAGCTTCCTCAAAGACGCCTTCGGCGCAGCAGTCTTCTTCGGCACCTTTGAGACTGTCAAAAGCCAGGCATACCTCGAATTTGTTTCACATTACTACGGCAGCCGAAGTCGTGACACGTTACTGGAGAGCTCTATTCCCTATCTGCAGGAGGACTACGATGATCGTCCAGTCATACGGCCACATTACATGCTGGAGCCCATGTTTTTGCTCTTGGCCGGCATCTCAGCATCAGTAACATCTCAGCTCATCCAACACCCCCTTATGGAAATCCAGGACGTCCACTATCGCCGACTTGAGGCTCTCGATTTTCAGGCTCATCAGGACAACAAGCCCTCGCATATTGTCCGAAGATATTACCATGCCTATGAAGAGACATTTGCGCAATGCAGGGTTCTGGCCAAACGTGTTGGAGGATGGAGAAGCTACCTCTACCGCGACTTCTTCATGAGCACGATAAAGCAAACGCCCAGTACAGCTGCTGGACTCATCGTGTTTGAAATTGTACGCCGAAAGTATTCTTTCGAGAACGAGGAGGTCATGATCAATCATGAAGATGCACGTATTCTGTTGTCATGAAGAACCGGTTCATTGTAGAATTGCGCAGCATCTTGCATAAGATACCCAGGGGCGGATTGTAGACAGATAGACCAGTTGTTCATAATTGTATATAGGCAAATCTCGCATCACAATTTACTGAATTAAAGAGACAAATCGATGATATCAACGGAGTGAGGGGTGAGCTTCACATTCGATATTCATGCGCTGAATCAGCAGATTTAGCACGCCATTCATAAACAAAAGTTCAAACCCCTCAGTCAGATCCGAGACAAGTGCCGAAGTACTAGCCATGCGTCAACACCTCGGATAAATCTCCTCTCTGTACCTCTGCAGCCTTTGCTGTCTATTCCGCATCCAAGCTTCCTCCAGATAGGCTTTCTTGAACCTCAAATTCACAACCATGGATTCGCAGTCGCCAATCAAGCTTGCCGTGCTCGATGACTACCATGGCATAGCATCCAAGCACTTTGCTCACATCGATCCATCAAAAGTTGAAGTCACAGTCTTTAACGACACGCTACCGTCATATTCACACCCCAGGACTTCGGATGCAGACCGCAAAGCCCTTGTTGATCGACTGAAACCATTTGCCGTTCTATCAACTCTACGCGAGCGCACCGCCTTTCCGGACGAGCTACTTCGTCAACTACCCAATCTGAAGGTCGTATTTGCGACTGGCGGTAAGTTTGAGTCCTGGGACCTGAACGCGATGAAAGAGCTGGGAATTAGCGTTTACGTCGCGCCCGGAAAAGGAAGGACGGACGGCAAGGGCAGCGTCCAGTCACCGCGATCCCTACCCATCAAGCAAGGAGGTGGACATCCTACTACACAACATGTCTGGGCACTCATCCTTGGACTTGCACGTAACATTGCTGCCGATGATGCAGTTGTAAAAGGAAAAGGCGGACCTGCAGGCTGGCAGACGGAACTGGCAGTCGGCCTACAAGGCAAAACTCTCGGACTCGTTGGACTGGGCAGAATCGGCGCTCACGTCGCTAGAGTGGGTGTTCTCGCCTTTGGTATGCGCATCATTTGCTGGAGTGCGAACTTGACACAAGACAAAGCCGATGCATTAGCGCAAGAATACGGGTTGCCAATAACAGGGGCAGGCATGCTTGCCGAGCATGAAAAGACCTTTCAAGTAGTCAACAAGGAAGAGCTGTTCCAAACAGCAGACGTAGTGTCACTCCACTACGTACTCAGCGACCGCTCAAGAGGTATCGTAGCTGCCCGCGAACTAGCGTCTATGAAACCTTCTGCTTTCCTAGTCAATACATCCCGGGCACCCCTTATCGACGAAGCTGTACTGTTAGATACATTGCAGAATGGGCGGATCCGTGGTGCGGCCCTCGACGTGTTCGATATTGAGCCACTCCCGGCAGATAGCCCCTGGCGGAATGGAGATTGGGATAGAGAGGGGAAGAGCAGGGTTCTTTTAACGCCGCATATGGGTTATGTTGAGGAAGGAACGTTGACGGTGTGGTACGAAGAAACGGCAGAAAACTTGGAGAGGTTGATTGAGGGAAACGAATTGTTACACCAGCTCATCTGAGGACATGGTAAAGATGACACTAATTTGAAGGGTCGCACGTGAACTAACCCCATCAGACCTTCCTATCCAGGCTGCACAGCTATAAAAAATTTTGCTACCGCCAATCCTCTTCAAGGGACTTCCCTCTTGCTCTGCTGCTTAACCGTAGCTTTCTTCAGTATATCTGCTATTCTCGGCCTAAGCTCCCATACTCTGAACTCTTTTTGTGCACATGTGGCTTCTGCTTGATCCAGTCCTTCCGCTTTCGCGCCACCCTCACAGCATGTACCTTAGGCCATGTCCTTTCCATGGGGTCCGGCGCATTCATTATGAATGGAATAGAATGGAATTGGATTCAAGCATAAAAACCGTATGACTGCCAAGGAGGAAGTGCTAGAAACGATTGGATGTGTTTTATCCTCAGGTCAATGGTATTGGTTTTGTCTCTAAACCTGTAAATCAAACCACGAATGCCTCGATGCATGCGTAAACAAAGCCATGATGCCCACCATATGTCTCAGCTCTGTGAATTGTCTTCCGCAATTTTTCTCTATAAATTGCTGTCCAAATCTTGCATGAACAACAATCCAAACAAACAGCGGCTATCGACAGTACCTGAATATCAAGCCGCACAACCTCTGATTGTGCCACTGATCTCTGACGAGTAACTTGACAAAATATTGAGAGTATCTCAGCGTTCTATGAACTCAAAGATGTCACTGACGCATCACCTGCGCACCACAGGTCGCGTGCCCGTCTTTGCAGCCAAATGCGGGTTTTCGGTGCACCGACAGCGGTACCTTCAAACAACCCTAACATCGCAACATGTCAGCGCATATCTCACTATAATTTCGTTCGTACATACGGTTAATTGGCTTCTTTCTACTTCTACTTCGCCCAATCACGCGATTTTCAAAGGCGTGACAAAAAGTGCAAATGTCCATCATCGCTCCTTTTGGGAACCTCAGAGATTTCTTCCACCAACTTCCTCCACGCGAACATTCGCGTCCACAACAACCCCAAGAAGTACGGATACCCGGGGAGTCAAGAAAGATAGGGATACTTCTGGCCTTTTTTCAGACATCGAGAAATCCATACAAACTTTCAATAAAAGAGCTGTAATCCAATTCCCGATAACTTGTAAAACGATCGATAAAATATCACCCAGAAGCAACTTATATAAACACCAGCATCTAGAGCAACTTCCTAAATATACAGGAAATAAGACTCAGAGTCCTGGATCACGAGAGTACGTGGCCGATTGTGGGAGACACTACGCCAGACAAGGAGACAAGAAGAATCATGAGAGTGATTGCGTCAAATGCAAACGAATAAAAAAACAAGAGAAAGAGAGAAAAGAAAGCCATCGTAGACTCGTGGATTGGGTAAAAGGTCTTGTGGTGAGCAAGCTGAAACCAAATACCGTTAGCGGTCCCCTGGATGCGAAGCACGACATCTTGAATTACGTCCAGAAGAGGAAACCCCAAGAGATCGATCGTAACACTGCTCAATTATTACATGTAGAGTTATCCCGGGTTGCTACATCAAAGCTAACGCCATGTGACGAGCAGGGCTACATCTACATCCTTCGCGACTCGGAGAGTGGACTTTTGAAGATTGGATTTGCCAAAGATCCCAGAGTACGGATTAAGCAACACAATAAATGTGGTCGAGACTTGAAGGCTGTCTATGTGTCAGAGTGCATCAAGTGGACAAAGCGGGCCGAACGGCTGATTAAGTTGGATCTGAAGCACCTGTGTAGACCTTGGTTCTGCTCATCATGTCAACAACGCCATGGGGAGTATTTCGAAATCACAGAGGAGAGAGCAAAAGCAACAGTAGAGAAATGGGAGGACTGGATCAATAGCAGTCAACCCTACAGTTCGGATGGTAGCATCATTCCGTTGTGGAAGTATTTGATCCTTTTCCACAGAACACCTAAGCAAGCAATGCGAGCTTATGACCATGAAGCCCGATGGGCGCACTGGAGCTGGGTGTTATCCCCAGCTTCAGAAGACGATTTGAGGGATTTCCAAGATAACTTTGAACAACACGGATTTGGCCATCACAGTGGCCTAATGCTTCCCAGGGAAAAGAGCGATCAAACAATGGAACGCGATAACTTTCCCAAAGAAGTCCTGATAGAAAGGATCTGAAGGATTTGGGAGACTTGAGAAGCTTAAGAATTTTTGGCCAAGCTACAAAACTATCAACATAGAGATCGCATGCTAGTTTGTATCATATGACCATGTTGTTGCTATTTCACAGTTAATCTTCTCCAAACAGTGTATCTGTTAGTTGTAAAATTCAAATGCTGAGTATTCTTCTTGATTCAAAGTTATGTTCATGTCAGCGCTCCATTTTTCGCATTTCGTTTCGAGTCTTCACAACTGATTTCCGAATAAGGTAGTTGCAAGACCTTGATCGAGCCACAAAATCTCAGCGTGATCTACCGGTTCGACTATGGTAAGTTGGGAGGGAAATTTGTTGTTCATCTTCGCTGAAAATACATCTTCATTTCCCGAGTTCTGCTGTGGGGAGTGAACAGATCGCCGAATCTGATAGCCGCTTTGAGTCAATCCTACAGCTGATTCAGAAGAGAGATGGGCAGGAATTACAAACGGGGGATTTGAGGTATGCCAAGCTCATCTGTGCAAATTTGGGGCCCTTGTGTGGATTGAAAGTACTATGTAGCATCCGGTTACCGTTCATAGCTTTAGGAACTTGTTACCTGGGCACAGTCTCGTAAATTTTTCCCAATGCATTTGCGCAATAAGATGGAGACTTGGTCATGAGTCAACACATCCTGCTCATGAGATTTTGGAGGCGTGGTCATTAAGCTTATCATTTCCTGCATAGCAGCCACGCATGCAACTTTCTGTCATGTGCTCGGAACCAGACTTAATTCCTCACTGTGCATGAATCCTCCCGATCATAGCAGAGGCCTAACCTCGTGGCTTTTATTCCAATTCAACTACAGCAAATAAAGATGAGAACTCGTAGAAATGGACCACATAATAGGTCTGACATGCAGAACGACACATCTTGGCCCCTATTCTTAGTGCATGCGGTAAAAGAAGCTCGCGAAATCAAGCCACGAAAGTTAAGACAACGTATGATTACGTAGCAGTGTATTGAGTAGCAAGCGATTTTGATTTGTTAGGCACCCAGCTCCAACTGAGCATAGAGCAAAGAACGTTGCACAACTCCTCCATTCTCCTCACAAATGCTCGATACTGTCGAATGAGCTAAGATATGCTACCTTTTACCAACTTTTACTGCTTCTTAAATCGCGATAATGTACTCTTCTGAGCTTCGACTGATTGAGTCTTGGCCCCCACATTCACGCTCCATTGCGCTGTGTGCATCGATCAACCAATTAAAAGCTCTTGTTCTGGCCCCCAATAGCCAGAACGGCAAATGGTCCCAAAGATCGACCGCGTGACTCGATCCACCAATAGCGAGAAAAGATACTGGCCCCAATTACCAAAATAGAGCATCTCAAGCTCTAGACCTGGATTAGTATTTGACCGTTCGAGGAAGCCCAGTCGCACCTCAACGCCATGCATCACAAGGCTGAATCGTTCTCTCAGTGCCTTCAATTTCGAGTTCCGCCCAGACATCAATGAAAGCGTTATAAAGATTCACATAAAACCCCACACCCTCAAACAAGCCCGCACGCATCACTTCTGCTCCTTCAAACAAGTCTCCTCCTTTCTTATCACGTACCCAGTTGTGGTATACACTAAACTAGCATGGAGACTCAGACAGCAAAACATAGCACATCTACTGACCTTGGTCGGCTGTGGACACAGGCCATAAGCGACTACAATGCCCGAACCGGCGAAGATCTCTCGTCCATGGGTGCACAAAGTTTGGATGGAGCGATGAAAAGTCTGGATGACGGCATGGAGAGATTCAAAGGGTTTCGTCATGATGGAAGTAAAACATCAAGGTTCCGTTCAGTTATTGGCCATTCACTTGGTGACATGCAGAAATGTATTGATGGCATTGCTGTAATTGGTGCTGCGGCAGGTGCATTCCCACCAGCCATGCCAGTAGGACTTGTGTTTACTGCAGCAAGCCGCTTGATATCAGTAAGTATCATTGCATTGCGATATAATCTTAGACTAATGAAAGCAGGCTTTTGCTGGAGTGAAAGCTGACTATGATCGGGTTGAATCGTTCTTTGAGTATTCAGGTCGATTCTTTGAGCGGCTATCCCTTCTTGAAGAACGAGCAGAATCTGGACCACTTGCTATCGCTATCGTTCGAGTGTTCTCTATGCAATTATCTGTATGTGGCAGGGTGCGATATCTGATCAAAAAGAAGCGTTTCTGTAAGGGTTACAACTCTTCTAGTGGGCCAAACTGATGACTCGTAGCACAATGGCTGAATGCGCTCTGGAATATGGAAGACCAAGAACTGCTGGCTGCATTCGCCGCTATGCAAGCGTCGATCGACGAGCTTAACCAAACTGTTGGATATGAAACTTACAGCTCTATCAGGACCGTTCAGGATGAGGTGAAAACAGGAAATGACAAACTCGATGCCGTACAAGAGGACACGTCAGCAAACGCTGCCAAGCTCGACGAGCTTGATGAAAAGCTCCGTTCTTTTCGTTCAAGCTTGGGACAAGATGTTCAGCAGCTCTACATGAGCAGTTTGAAGCTGGAAGTTGTAGTCAGTGAGGGATTTGTTGCAGTCCAAACGAAGCAGAATGAAAGTCATGCTCTGCTTCTTCAGCTCCAAAAATCAGTTGAGAAACTAGGAAAGACACCCGAACACGACGAGAAAAAGAAGCAGAGTGGAAAGTCAAAGGGCGACAGCGGTGATCGTAAGTTTCAAGCTCTCCGAGAGATCAAAAAGTTTCTCACGGAAAATTACACAACTTTCCCATCATGGACCGACGCCCACCGGGAGAACTTAGCACAAGACGAAGACATGCGAGATTCCCAAGTCAAACACACGGCGAAATGGCTGAATGAACACCCAAACTTCAAGACCTGGGCAGAAGGAGGAAATCCGTTGCTTTGGCTAAGAGGCAATGAGGGTATCGGCAAATCCTTTCTGGCGTTTTCGGCTGTTCAAGGCCTACGCGCACTCAAGAATGAAAAAAACAATTTTGCCTATTTCTACTTCAAAGAGGAACACCCGTACCTGCAATCAGTACAAAATGCTTTTGCATCAGCCGCGCTTCAGGTTGCCGAATCAAACAACAAGTATGCAGAGCAGGTAGCGGCAAATATCAGGGACAATGCTGCACGATCTGAAGACATATCTACTTGGGAACGGTTTTTTGTTTCGATGTTTCCCGGCAAAGAAAAGTCTGACGGTCGGCTTTTCCTTGTTCTGGATGGCCTAGACGAGGCTCATATCCAGCAGGGTGGCATCATGACGCAATTTCTATCCGACTTGAGGCTTGAGAACGCCAACGTTTCGGTATTATTGACAAGCAGGCCAGAAGAGAAACCCATCATACAACTCTTCGATCCGCCCGTCATTGATGTCACAAAGCAAGAAATAAAGCCGGACATCAAGGCATTGACTAAGAGTCGCCTTCATTCACTACCACGGGTGCGGAAATTTAGCCACGCTGTGAAAAGGGCCATCACCCGCAAGGTCGTCAAACAAGCGGACAGTATGCTCTATGCTGAGCACGTACTGCGAAGATTCTCTTACATCGGCCGAGAGCGAGCTGTCTTGGAAGAATTGGAGAAGTTGCCGGCCTCTCTGCATGATCTCTATAAACTTCTTCTGGACGAGTGCCGCCACAACCGGACTGAGGCTCAATATCAAGCGCTAAAGAAGCTTTTTGCATGGTTGGCGTTTTCGAAACGATCGCTCAGCCTGGCAGAAGCTTCAAACTTGGTGCAGTTGACGCTACCAGATAACTCTTTCGACATTGAGGAAGAAATCATTGGGCGCTCATCCCGTATCCTTGAGCTTACACAAACCCGACAGACAGAAGAAGATACTAAAGAAGATGACAAAGAAGACGACGACACGGACGACATGAAGGACGATTTTGCTTTTGAACTTGGATATCGAGAATCGCCTTTGTCATTTCAAGATCGTTCTCTGCGACAGTACTTCAAGAGTGTGAGTGTCGAGGCCGATGGCAATGAAGAGTTCCGGACACCTGCTTCTGCTGCACACCTCACGATCCTACAGATGTGTGCAGACATTATGATTAAAGCAGCAAAAGATCCAGAAGACCAAGCTAGCTCAGGACTGTCGCTATATGCAATCCAATATTGGTACGAGCATCTGAAGGAGCTGGACGTTGAAAATTCTACGGATGCGACGGTTTGCCAAGTGGTCACTTTGTTGTACAGCATAACGAAAAACACGAACAATGTTGCAAAGTTGTTTGAAGTAAGAGCAAGGCACGCAGATCTCTACCCTGAGCGAGCAGACGACACACCTTCAGCATGGTTCGATACACTCTTGATTTGGGCAGCTAAGGCATCCTCGTTCGAAAACGAATCTTTGGATAGTGAGGTAAAAGCGTGGGCGCTTACTGTTAACAAGGACAATGTCTTACTTTCGTTGGCGAAAGGACATGTTCAGAATTGGTTGGATGCTAGAAGTCAGTGGTGGATACCTGAGACCTTTCGATTCATCAAAGCTGCTCTTCGATTGGTAAGTGATCTTGTTTCGTGACCACAAACAGTTCTAATTTAGTGCAGGCCAATCGACTACAAACAACAGACGATGAACCATTAAAGCTCATTCACGAGGTCATTTCGCAGTATGATGTTCCCGCTGAGGATTATAAGACTTTGCGAGCAATCGGCGCCACATTGTGCGATTACGGATATGATTATTCAGATATAGAACGTCAGAATGCGACGTTGACCGAAGGAGCTTCGTACCTCAAGCAGGCCGTCGAGCGTATGGAATGCGACAAGCAAGAAAAAATCGAAACGCTTCGCCTTCTTGCACCAAAGTATTTGTGGATTGACCAGCATTGGGAGGCAATCAAGTACTACGATCAAGCATACGACATGTTGCCAGACCCAGATTCAGAGGGATTGACCAAAGCTCAACAGACCGAGTTCATGGACATACGATTGGACATATTGGCAGCCAAAGCTAGCGCCTTTGAAGAATTGAAACAGTCTGAAGACGCCCTCCGCATCTACAATGAAGCCAGAAGGTTTTCAGGCGAAATGCCTCTACCTGGCGCGAGGCTTGACGACATTACCATGCTCTTCAAGGAAGAAAATGACCCCGATGGTTCAAGACTCATCAACGAAGTGAAAACCTGGACAGAAAGGGAGCGAAATAATTGGTTTCAATATTGCTTCGAGGGCTGGGTAGACAATGCTGCGGTCACTCGTATGCAAAGAGCAGCCAAATTAACGGGTGAGACCGATCTGCTCCTCAGCTGGCTCTATACTCTGGCTAAGACCCTGCCTGAGGAGAGTTATTATCTTTTCAATGTCCGAGGCGCAATCGCGAGCCTGTACTACCCGGTGATGGGTGACATTGAAAAAGGTAAAGCCTTGCGGCAGGAAATACTAGCCATGAACCCAAAACCTGAATCTTGGTTCGAGGAGACCATGAACGAGAAGAAGACGGATCATCGACTGAAACTTGCTGAAATCTTGTTCCACGAGTTTCAGAACTGCTCAGATCCGATGAAGAAGGAAGCCCTGATCGAAACTTTGAGGACTCTGCCAAGTGCTCATGTAGATGACGATCTTCAAGAATCTCATGTGGGTATGCTGCTTGCAAACATGCTCCGGATCATGGGCCCTGCAAAGGAATATCAGAAACACATGAACGAACTATTTTCTGCCTGTATGAATGGCCTTGAGGACAGTGTATCGTGGAACGACTCGTCTAGTCTGAGACTCTTGTCCAAGGTCTTGGGTTCTTTGGACGGTCTTGAGAGAGACGCAAAGATTGCTTGCACCGCGCAATTTTCGATACTGGACCGGAGCATACACTATAAAAACACTGACACTAATGGCTCGGAGACTGAATCTAACGGTGATAGTACAGAAGAAGATGCAGAAAACAAGTCTGGAGAGAAAACTGTACCCGTTGCGGAGACCGCCCCTACGACTGAAACAGCCGCATCTGACAACGCCCCAGTACCCGACGTGGGAAATACGAATAGCGAAGAAACTGTTTTGGCAGATGGCCAACTCAAGACTATGGGGTACTCTACTGCCGATTCAGCAGTTGCCAAAAGGAGAGACTCTGCAGAAGTTGCCGAAGCTCTAGAGCAGACAGTAGAGGCACAAGAGTCCACCTCGTCGGAACAAAACTCTACTGCAACAGATTCCAACAAGCTTGATGAAGATATTACTGGAAGCGGAATTTTCTGCGATGGAGGTTGTGGAACAGACATGAGCAGCTGGGTCAAGCCGATATACTATTGCTTGGTCTGCGTCAACTGTGATCTGTGCGAGGACTGTCATGCCAAACGACTAGCGCAGACACGTGGAGAGATCGCGGAACCATGGCAAAGCTACTGCGGTAGAGATCACCGGTATATCAAGGCACCTATGAAGGGGTGGAAGGGCGTGAAAGACGGTATAATTAGGATTGATGGTGAGGAGGATTTGTCAGTGAAGGACTGGCTGAAGGGTTTGAAGGAGGAGCGATGGCAGAAGGCATGGCAGACTTTCTGGACACGACAAGGTGGTCTGAAGAATATTGGAGTTGATGATTAGAAGATATCAATCGTACAATAAGGGATCTTACACGCGATAGTAGCAACCACCTGTTGCCGGGTCTGGGTGTGGAAACTCAACTATACGGGTATATGCCAGTCTATTGGATGGCCGCGATTAACCAAGGATGATCTTTGTGGGCGGAGTGCAATTTGCATCCCAGATTGCCTTCGGTACACGTCCCGCCGCACGCCGGTTTGCTATTGCTCCCTTACGCTGAACTTATAGTACGTTGCAAAAATGGTACTCCCTTCCGTCTGAGTTTTTCATGCCATATAAATTCATATCTTTCCTGACTTTTGTGGTTTTGTTAGTTAACATCCTATGAGACTCGATGCTTTAGGTGATAATATGGAACCGCCACTGTCATACTGACCTAGGTACTTGGAAGTCCTTGAATATATTGAGCCTTCGCCTTCATATGCTCCCATTTCCAGCTTATACAGTTTGCCAGCTTTGTCGCCATCAATACCGGTGGGGTTGAGGGTTCCTGTAGATATGGCTATAAGCTTCATTGGCCGCCTAGCTTTAGTTCATTTTCCTCCATCTTGCGTAGTACACCAGTAGTAAGTCCTTTCTGGGTTTCAAGAAAGATGAGGTCGCAAGCGATCTGCAGTCGAGGCCCATCGGCGAATGATGGGAGCTTGAATAGCGATCGCCATCTGGCCATGCGTTTTGCCCTTTTCCTTCCCTGTGAAGCAGGAGCGGAATAGCACACAGCTTTGATGTATAATGATAGGCATGATGCCTGACGCGAAAAAAAATCCAGGAATCGCGAGGCAGAGAAACGTATTGCGGACTTGCAATAAGCGGTGTGGGACTGGGAAGGGGGGTAGATGCCTCATCTTAAGGTGTTAATGGCTTATCTGCTGGCACTTGGCGCTGAATTTCTTGGGACAGAGAGTAACACTTTACGAGCTTCTGTGTTTGACAAACAGTCAATTGAGAACAACCATGGTCTCTGTTAAAATACAAAGATCGAGTCCGCAGATGGTATGGGTCGACGGGACAGATTCACCCACACCATGACCATGAAGGCAGATGCGTTTTTGCCGTCATTGTACCTTCATCGTCGTCTCTTGCTACTCTAAGATGAGTCCTGTGGAATGGTTGCCATAGAAGTGCAGTACCCAGATAAATACGAGGGAGGCCGTACAGGAACTCAGAAGGGAGGTTGCGTCCGAGGTTTGACAAGACACTGGAAAATGCTGGGACTACATCTTGCGGATATGTAAAAACACGGCGGTTGTAAAAACCCATCAACTCCGTGTATAGATCGAAGTCAGGGTAAGAGCTGGATAACATACCGGTAGCTTCGTCGTGGTGTGGAACCGTGAAGGAGGTACTCCCGCTTATAGTCTTTTCCGGGCTTAGCCCGTCTACACTCCAAGTGCGTTACTGACATTCCCAAAATGTGTGACGCAGGCTGAAGAGAACAGCTCTTTTTGAGAGCATCTGCTTTTAGAAGGTCCAGACACAGGTGGCTCAAGTGGATCTGTAGAGGTCATCGTAGAGATCCTCTTCCTTGTCATCTATTCTGGAGCTGCGGAAGAGATCAGCGGTTCTCAGCAGCATACCATAGAGATCTGCACATATGATCGTCAAATGTGCACCAGATTATATATCGCCCACATGTTTCACCTGCTGGCGTGTGCTTTCATCGTCCTGGACAATTCAAGAACAATCAACCCATAGGTAGTTATCCCCAAGGTTGCGAAGTAAATTGGTAGAACGGCATCATATTAGATTCAAACACAATGCTGAACCCCACCAATAATCACGCTATGTGAGTTGAAATATAGACCCGATTGGCGTCAATGTTTGTTTCGTCTCAGGAAGGAAACTAAAATTTTAGGCTCTCCTTCTCCATACCCTGGATAGTAAGACATTGCGTTTATTATCCAATACTGCGATAAAATCGCAACACATTGATAGAAAAGAGTCTAAGCCTGAGAAAGACATCTCACTTCACATTCGTTCACATGTTAAGGAAAGGAGAAATCTTAAACCATTTACACCAGTCGACAAGATTTGTTCATGAATGGTGACGTGAGCACTTTGCTCCAGGTCTATCCTCTGCGTAAACATGACATTAAATTTATTCCTTGTCTTTTTTGCTCATTTTACCATCAGCGAGTTTGAACATATAACTGTAGTTGCTATATGGGAGCGGAAAGACTTCCTTCCCGGGATGCAGGACGGCACGGGTAATCTCGGAGAAGATGGCACCTTCTTACCTCAATATTCTCAAATATGCCAAGGATGCAATAAAGTTCCAGGAGTGAAAAAAAGACAGCCTTTACCGACCCAAGCAGACTTGGCATGCCATTCCATCCATGAAGGTACCAATTCTTTGATTGGCGCGGACTGTGATTTTGTCAGAGAAAGAATGCTTCGTAAACTCAGGTTCAACGTATCATCTTTGGGGAGACTTTCTGACCTTCGTTCTAGAATGAAATTGAAATGAACAGTTGGTGTTCACACGGGCCCGTCTGCCGTTCCCTGATAGAGGCGCATTCTGGTGGATGTCTTGATGTGCATTTTGCCGAAAGCCTTCGGTATCCCAGAAAGCTCTCGACCTGCAAATATTGCGGATTCATTGTCAAGAGTAAGTATAATGCAGTAGTTGTATTTTTGGCCGTTGAACGTGACCTCTGCATGAAGGACGAACTCGTTGTATAACCCACCAGAACTTTTTCCATAACGAATAAACATAGAGGCCATTAGTGATTCTTTTTCAATCTCCATAATATCCGGAATAAGATGGCGTATGTCGGATCCAGCAACACGATATTGAATGACGGTAGTCGTTACATCCTCGAGTTCATTGTCGTAAGGGCCGGTTGGATAAGGAGGCCAGTAGCTCGGGATGGCATCCTTCGATAAACTAAGAGTACCTTTCAACATGGTGAAGTGGTTTTAGATTTGAGGAGAGATGGAGCTTGAGGCCATCATTGAGGCTGCATGGCAAGATTTATAGACAAAAAGACTTTAAGACGAGTGCTGTACTCCACAAGCGTTTGAGTACTGTGCAAGGATCTATTACAAACAGTTTAGCAACATTGAATCGTCAGAAACATGATTTGTAGCACGAAACTTTGTGATTAGGACATTGTCTCGGCTAATGCGTGAACCCTCTCTAGGGGAAAGAATGTCTAAACGAGAGAGAGCCATGTAAGTCCACTACGCTCTGAGTACGAATCGAATAGTTTGCATTTCTTCCACATAATCGAGAGCCTGATTTGACAGCTTGACAAATTCTAAGCGAGTCAGTGATCCTTGGCCATTGGCGGGAGCTAATGAATATCAACGTCTCGCCATGCAATAACGATGACGTTATCTGGGGACGATGTCGCCATTATTCGACGTCGCCCATGTTAGACTTCGTTCTTGTTTGAGCAGAAAGGGTTAATTACGGACGAATATTCGATCGAACTAACAATGGTGTTCGGCGTTACTCTCCGTTCAATCTGGGCGGACAGCGGAACAACTACTCCACCCCACTTTCTGTTCATGCTATCAATGGTTATATGTTCAAAGTTACTTGGTGTTTTTTTCACGTAACGCTAGTAAAGACAACTCTTTGCTTACGAGAACTGCATCGTCCTAATTGTGTTCGGGAATAGAACTGTAAAGCCAGGTATTGGGCAAGGATTTTGATCAGCTTTCGAAACCAACTAACTAGACTATTTGAAGCAGTTTAGACTTATATTAAATCAGCCAAGATCAACCATGGGCTGCTATATTGAGCAAGACATTAGGCACTGATTGTCATGTCTTTTAACACCCATTCTGAACCCGTACTATCAATCCAGTGAGACTCGAACACAAATCACTGGCTGAAATTTCAATAAGATTTGCAGCATTCTAAACATGACTTCACACACTCATTTTGGACGGGACACTAAGGCAAGCGAGGTGGCTGACGCTTTTTCAGCACAAATCAAGGACCGTGTTGCTATGTTTTCATAGATATGTTTCCCAGTCAAGATATCTAACTATATCGTTTAGTGGTCGTTACAGAAATATCTGGGTTGATGCTTGGTGGAGCTATCGCGCTTGTATTCGCAAAACATGAACCGGAAATGCTTATCCCGGCATCCCGCGCACAATCTAAGATGGATGAATTTGCTGCAAACATCAAGGCTGTTGACGCCGATGTGGATGTTAGAAATGTTCTTGAAGATCTCCTCTCCCAAACTGCCGTCCGCCAAGCAGCAGAAGAGATCAAGTCTCACACCGCTCGCATTGACATTCTGGTCAACAATGCTGCCACGAACATGTACGAGCGAAAACACACGTCTGAGAATATTGAGTATCAGCTAGCCGTTAACCACATTAGACCCTTCCTCCTCACCAATCTCCTCATGGACTTTTTCTTGGAGGCCGCTATGTTTTCGCCGCCTGGTGCAACGCGGGTCATTAATATGACCTCTGATGGCCATAGGGCAAGTCCCTTCAAATTCCATGACTATAACTATGAAGGCAAACCTGTATCTCCTGAAGAGGCCGATTCGCTTGCAGAATGGCCGCCAGAGACGCAAAAGGCCAATGGAGGCCACATAGGATTCTTGGCGTATGGGCAATCGAAGACAGCAAACACCCTGTTCAGTGTAGATTTGAACAAGCTTCTTGCCCACGGGAGCATCGTTTCATACATTGTGCATCCAGGAAGTAAGATAGTTTGCTTTCAGATCCTTTATCACTTCTGTCACTTCTTCTTGTCACGATATTTCCCAACTGCCTTGAACAAAACAGATATTATAATTGAGCTTGGCAGACATATGCACGAAGATCCAGCGAAAAAACTGCCGGATATCATGAGTGCTACATATCTTGACCCTAGCGTTGAAGAAGGGGCATCAACTACGATGGTTGCCGCTTTGGATCCGATCTTGACTAGTATTACAATTACCAGCATCGACGCGAAGCTCTATGATTAATAATAAATCAGGCGCGGAAGGGTTATTTCTAGAAGATTGCCAGCTTATTTTCGCAAAGCCTTATGTTGTAGATTCTGTCAATGCTGAAAGACTTTGGGTATTAAGCAAGAAACTCGTTGCGCGGAAGTTCTTGTAAATAATGCCTACTCTACAAAGAGTAGTATTGGTAATTTTTAAGCTAATTCCTTTGGGCAAAAATGTATGAGGTCATTCATCGATGAAAGCCTTGCTTGAGCACAGAATCCCCGACCAGCTTCGGCTTTTGTAAGCTCGATTGTGCAACACGAACTATGTTTCTCGATAGATAATGTGATTTCCTCGGCAGTTTTTGAATAAATTGGTATTTTGTTGACATGGGGCAAGGTTGGAATCATCCCACTTCATCGATGGCATCGACAGCTCGTCATAAGATACATACTTGGTAGACCCACCATAATGCTATACTGTAACTAAAAGGAACAGAATCGGCAATTATATCTGAAAATTCACTAGAATAGGAATTTCAGAATACCTTGATTTGCGGACGTGTTAGGAGCGCAGAAGAGTGACAGAAAAATAGATGTAACGCCTCTGCTCATCACTACGACCCCTTGTTACTTTGATCAAGCCTCATGCGCAAATGAGGTTGAAAAGTAACATAAACAAACAGTGCGTAAACAAAGGTAGAAAATCATCGTTCCTTCATGATAACGGGGCTACAAGTGGATCTTTGATCCATGCACTGTTCGAACCACAGTACCTACATCGCACGCCGTGCCTGACAAAGAACACTGTAAGCCATGGAAGTACAGAAGCCCCCTATGCACTTTGTCGCCGTTCCGGGATTGTGCCGTGCAAGCAAATCAGTCACACAATTACCAATCAAAGGCTCAAGAGCTGAGTCACCCATCCGGGCACTATCCCGCAAACTCCTGCATTGCGTATAATCCCCTTCGCGATACACAACACGGTCATGATGACAACAATTGCAGGTAGCTCAACAGCCTCAAGTTTGTACCCGCGGTTTGGCGCATTGAATGCACAGACATGGTACTTTCGCCAGACACAAGATGATAGCTTACTACATCAGTCTAGTTCTCAAAAAGCATCAGTGATCAAGTAGTACATGCATGTGTCAAACCCAGTCACATTCTGGTCTCTTGGGTCAATTCTGTTAACACTCCCTAGGCGCTAGAACATGTCACATGGCCAAGTCTCGACGCCAGCTATGTTGTGATGACTGGTTGCGCTAACGCTGTCAATATGCATAAGGAACGCCACTGCGTGGTGGCGCCCTACGTAGCGGATACGGGTTGAACCTTGCGCTAAGCGATGCTGCGGGATCCACGCAGGAGTAATCCAGACCGCTGCAGAGGCGCTGCGGCCCGCATAGATGCCGTATTAAGAGGACGTTGTTAGAGGTAATTAGGCCTAGTTAAATCCAAACCTGAGCCTTTCATGTCTCTATCTAGCCAGCCACTTAGCACAAGCCAAACTCTATCGGCGAGTCCGTCCACCAGTCACTCATAAGCCCAGTTTCTTATTGTGACGCCTTCGGCGGCTTGCAGAAGTGATAAGGTTGCTTCAAAGCTGGCACGAAATAGTCTACGTACAATAATTCGATAGACATCTGTGCATAGCCATGAGCGGTGTCAAATCTAGACCTGTCCTTAGGTTTCGGGTAGGTGCTTTCTTGTTACGTAGAGCTGTATTCATTCATTACTTCATCTTACTTTTGTTCAGTCAGTGAGTCAGTCGTCGGAAGACGCCTGCGCTATCATCTTACAAGCCTTGGCCATTTCAGTACAAAACTTTATTTCATGAAAGAATTCCGAACCCAAAACAAAAAACAATGACATGTCAATCTGAGTAAAATAAACCAGTATTACACATGAACCTAAGTCTACGTTGAAGACAATACTGCCTAGTAGATCAACTGGTTCTGGTCCTGCTCTCTGTGGATGAATTGGTACCAAATTACAAGAGCTAAGAAAGAGAGTAAAGCATTACAAAAGCAAACAATCGTTTTCAAATCCTTCATTTAGGGGCTTCAACAGCTATTTTCATCGTCCAAAAATCGCTCGTGGCATAAAAATCAGTGATCCAATCATAGGGAATCCAAAACAGGGATTTCGATACACCCATCGAATTCTGGCAAAGGACATACCTCAGATTGTCATCATAACCAACAGCTAGGACAGCATGCGCGGCTTTTGGCAGGGAGACTTTGGAGTGCCTTTTCTTTGTCATTGCGTGAATTTGCCACATGCCATTTGGTCCGTCTCTGTCCCATACAACATCCCCAATCTTCCAAGTGAGACTGAAAACCACTGGGCGACAATCACTGAGACAAGACCGTAGATTTTCAAGGACATTGTGACCATCTACATCCATATCAAAAGTTGCGTCATATCCTTTTGCGTTACGATGGACGTCTAATCGCTCATGCGTAGATATTCTGTGTCCAAGTGCCTCTTGAAAACAAGTATCGGGCGGCTGCTCATTTATTCTCAGTTTATCATAGGGCCATGAAGCCTCTGAGCATACTCCATACTTTGCCAGGCTTCTGAATGCGTGACGTATGAAACACCCTCTATCCGCAATGATTTGGGATACCGCAGTGCGAGCATTGTAGTAGATGAACAGCCGAGACGGAATAATTGCCTCGCCAGGAATATTATTGAGAGCATTATGTTTGCGGAGCTCGAAGAGATAACAAGCCGCGGTTGCATTCGCAACGCAGGACCCCATCTGGCCTTGCTGGAAGCAGTCTTCAAAGCACCCTCGACATCTCGGGTCTGTACGAAGATTGATAGCTGATGCAATCTGTAGTCCATGAGGCTTTTGGTATGGATGCTCCATGCCAGTGAAGGTGGTATATGCTATCGTCATATCTCTGATCTGCAAAGCATATTAGCCCGCGTTGAGCAGCTTGTCACATTGAAATATCTAACCACGAGAGAAAAGGTGCCGGCTGAAGAATGGTTGCTAGTGTTGGACAGTCATGCCATGATTTTGGGAGGGAATTCTGCTTAATGACACGAAATGTGACTTATTTCCATGGAATAAAACTCTGACCGTTGATAGGTAACGGCAGAAGGCGTCTAGAGTCCTAGCTGAGGGGATTACGATCTAGACTTAGCGGTTGACTGAAGCCGTGTATGTTTACCCATTCTAGACTAATTGCGCTTGACATACCTAGCTACTTTCGGACCCGCTTCGCCTTGGTCCATTTAACACCCGTAGTGTCTCGCTTGAGGAGGACGCCACAGTGGGTCGGGCTTGTTTGTGGAGGAGCCAATGCGCGCTCCCCTGACTCTGTGGCGTTATCGCAACATCGCTATTACCCCTCAATGCCAGCAGATCGGTGACGGACTTTGACGCGTCTGTGTTTTCTCAAGGTGTAGTGAAATCTGCTATTGTCGGCCGTTGCAATATTAGCCGGCATTTCAACACCTACGTACTCAACCATGTCGCGAGCTTCCATAGTAGCAGATCTCAAGCACAATCTTAAGACAAGCGCAAATAGCAAAGATAGTCACTTAAACCCTTTTAGATCTTGGATTCGCATTGACTAACAAGATCACATATCCGTCGATTAACTTCAAGGTCTCAGTAGCAATGGTCATGTTCATGATGGAGAATCTGGAGAGAACGACTGGATTAAGATATTGCTATTTCTGACTGACAAGCGAGTGTGTTAATGAGAAAAAGGCCCCTTTATCTAAAAGATCGCCGGTACGAATGATTGCTCTTAAGCGCGTTCAAAAGTTGTGCAGAGGATCGCCAATGAGTCCGGAAAAGTACTTGGCAATATCCTTGACACCGTCAGGGATCGGAGCCAAATTGATAATTGCGAGAGCGCCATTGCCCAACTTAGAATACAAGGTTGACACAAATCTCCACTGCAGGTATATCAGGGTCAGTAAAACTTCACTTTTCAAATACCATTGTTACCAATGCTCACCTGGAAAGGATTGCGAGACTTGTCGTGGAAGACCAGGAAACGTCCCTCTCCCTGCTTGTTCTTTTGACCGTATTGGAAGGAATCATCCACCGTTATCGTGAAGGCATCACCAGAAGATTTGGCCTTCAAGGCGTCGAGCTTGCCTTGCTGGATGAAGATGTAGCTTTGCTCATTATCTGTGTCACCGAGAATCAATAGTGATCTATCAGGCATTGGGGGCCAATAAATACTTTTGTCCTTGTTCGTGAAGACGGCCATGTAGTAGGTATCGGACTTCTGGGAGAGGTTCTGCTGCCAGTTCACAGTGGCAGGATTGGCGGCAATATCGCCCTCAGCGATGAAGATCTTGTTTCCCTTCTCAACAGTCATGATGGAAGATTTTTGTCCTAAGAAGATAGGTGCTGGAAAAGACGGTTTTGGTAGTAGTTGCTTAGGTTGAAAGATGAGATGAAAGTATATGTTGATGTGTGAGAAGAAGGGGGATTGGTGTGCCTTTTATCTTTGTGTAATGGACCAAATGAGATTGTTCTCTCAAGCCACATATCTCACAATATGTTCGAAAACTAACTTTCTTCCCTTTGTGGCTAGATCATGTTCGTATCCTAAGATCTAGAGCGAGGTGGAGTAGTCTCGAACGCCGCCTTTCAGCTGTGACGGTCCGTTCCCTCTGCATGTCCAGCCTATTCGGTGTCGTAACGCGATCAAGCAGCCGATAGCGAGAAACTAAGCGAATTTCATGCGAGCATAATGTCATGATCATGGTGATGGAGGGAGCCAGCCTCTAAGCGGAGTCAATTCCTCCGCGGAGGCGATCAGCTCATTCGTGCAAGTCTGAGGTTCGGTTCAATCATTCCAGCCAAAAGTGATAGAGTGATCTTAGACGACGTTTTCTCAGCTGTGACTGTTCATTCCCCCTGCAGGTTCAGCCTATTCGGGGCGGTCGTCTTAGTGGAGCGATGAATACGTCGGATGCTGTGTGAGCTGTCACACCGTAAGGTTGGGCTCGTGACTGTAATTTTTGAATCAACTCCAAGCGACACTTGTTACAGCGCCACAGGTGTTGCTGAGCTGAATCCTTCCATCCATGTCTAAACTCTTGACCTTCAGCTCTGATTCCAGCCTTCCAAGGTCTAGCGAAACATTGCTGTCACTCAGTGACCGGGAGTCCATCATTGGCTGATTGGTTGCTATCCAACCAACTGCTGCTTCGAAATCCAGGTTATGAAGTGGGCATTTCCTCAATATGGCTAGTCCTTAAATCTTATCATGTCGCCCGGTGACTACAAAATGCCAAATTGTCTTGAATCTTTAGCAAAACCTGATTCTTCATCTACACATTACTACCAAAGACAACACCAGTGATCACTTCCCTGATAGCATAGCTGAGATGTAAGCTGCTCCTATATACATGTCTTGCACATCACTGAGTCAAATAAGAACCCAAATATGGCCACAGAACACATCAAGTCGTATTACAAACCCAGCCCCGAGGAATTGAGGGCATTTGTAAATGTACTTCTGGACAAAGACATGCCGATGTATGTTCAAGATTCGGGTATTCAAAACTCCTTGCTCCTTGAGCAACACGAGGATGAAGAGGTTGCACCCATGTTTTACTTCTCCGAACACCGCTACCTCGGTAACACAATCCAACTGCCTGGTCATGACAGCGCCGGAGATCATGTAGCAGCCAATAATCCCTTTACTTTGCAGAATGGGCTTGTGGTCACGTACGGGGACATCAACGCACTTTCTGGAGACTATTTTGGATTGATGACTCCAATCTCCAGGGGCACTACACTAAAAGACCGCAAGGATCGTTTCCAGCAGAGCTTTGACCTGTTGAATGTAGGAGAGGTTGGCAAAAGAAGGGCAGAAGCTGTGATCGCCAAACTGAAGGTTCTTATGGCTGCAGTGGACGATGCCATCGAACATGACCAAAAGGCAGTTCACAAAGCTTACCAAGACCACCCCTTGGATATCGACGCACTCAAACAGGTCACAGTCGCCTATAAGGCCGGAGCTGACTTTGATACCCTTGCGCTCCACAACATCGACCACTTTGGATCTGAAGCTCGTTTGACTTATAATGCCGGTCACGCCCTAGCTCTTGAAGTAGCTGCACAAGGTGACCTTCAAAAGGCATATTCTATTAACGCCTTTGCAGACCACTTCCTGCAAGACTCATTTGCAGCGGGCCATGTTCGCGTCCCACGAAATGCTCTCTACTCCCTCGACGTCAAGGTCGACTTTTCAATCAGCTTTTTGAAAGCGATTGCATCAAATGTCAGTACCTTTTTTCAAACTTCGGCTACTTCTAACACAGCTATGGCAGGTCATGCATGATGAGGATGGCAACCTAGGACTACATGTCCAAAACCTGGCTGGAGAGAAATGGAAGATCTATGGGGATACCAGGCTCTTCGACCCAGTAAACAGCAACAACCTTCGCATCTGCACCGAAGCAATCAAAGTATCAGTCCAAGAGGTCTATAATGCCTACAAGCTCCGCAAAGTGATTGATGAATCACAATTCGGCGCATGGAGATTGGCCCCAATTCTAGAGCTTGTCTCATCGCATCCAGAGAATCATCTTCCACTTCTGTTTGTCAAGTCAGACGGCAAGATATACAAGCGGAATGGAAATCCCGGAGAAGGAGTGTTGTTGGATACCATGTGGGACTACGTGGGGTTTTTGCTCGAGAACATCAACATGCTGGAGAAACAGATTCAGCTACAATTTCAGAAAATTATTGGCAATAACTTGGGATCACTGGTGGGTAATCTATCGAGTGGTCAGATAGCCCATTGAGCGAACAACAAGGATGATTGCGAACATTCGGCGTATTTTTCATTTCACAAACAATTCATTCAAAAACTGATTATCCTAGCATCTCTATACTATCTTGTGTGGTATCAACTTGTGTCCAAAAGTCGTAAATTTGATGAATGTGGATTTCACGGCCAACATCAAAGACGGTTTTGGCAGTGACGTCGGTTGCAGCGATGGGATCGAGTGATACGCCAGGCTCATTCTTGACATTTCGCAGCTTTTCAGCCATAGCTTAGTTCTCCGCACAATCTTTACAAAAAGCAAGCTCATGTTGTGATGCAATAGTAGTGAGGTGGGGAACTGTAGCAGCGTGATCGTCTTGCTCTACAGACGAGGTAGTTTGGAGGTTATTACGGGTTATGATTGTTATTTTAAGAGATCGCTGTGTTTAATCCAAGGCTTGTCGTTTATGCGATTGGCTTGCTTGTTGTATTTTTAAAGGGCGGCGTCGAGTTGACCATTGCATTTCAGACATCTGTAAGCTCATGACAGCAGCATTTAGAACGAGCGTAGCTTCGTCGCCGGATTGACGATATTTGCTGCAGTCAGCGCCAGCTTCCTGGCAATGTGAAGCGAAAGAGATCAGAGTACCATTCTGGGAACACTCTTGGTAATAGGCAAGCTTTGCGCCAGTTGCGACATGGCCCTGCTGTTGGCTCTTGAGCATTTGGGTCAAGCCGACATCGACCATGCGCCCTAGCGTTTTGCTGCGCTTCAGTTGCTCCTGTTTCTGGGTAATGACTTTTCCTCAAATGATGTGCATCTGACTTTTTAATACATCTATGCTGCCGTCCATAATATTCAGCTTGTGGATCTGCTCGTTGCTTGTCCCTGCCAAGGTACCTGTGTTGCTAGCAATTTGGTCAAGCCGATCGTTCAATGATTCACACGCTTGACGAATGGCTTAAATCTTAGCAGAATGGTTCAGTTTTGCCAATTCTCGTGTCCGATCATGACGTTGGCGTACAGATTGACGCGAATAATCGTGGCTCCGGGCGATGGAGACCATGAGCTTCTCGTGGCTTTTGGTAACGTTTATGGACAGTCAATTACTTGTTTGCACCAGAATCCCCAAATCTCTGTCGTGGTGCTGCGTGTTGACCTCTTGCAAATCCCAAATTAGTCGCATGATGTAGTCGACGTCTTGCCCCAGACGCACTTGTTGAAATTTGGCTTTGACGCCCAGTGTAGCGTATGTTCGATGCATCCACGCCTTGAGAAGCCAGACGAACTACAACGCAAAACCACCAAGATAAGCGATGAAAGCGTCACCTACCACCCCCACTAGAGCGTTGCCAAAGACGTGGAGTTCAGCGCGTAGATCGGACGGGGAAATTTGCTCACCAACCAGTTGATGACTTTGGCGGCCAGATGACTACTGGGCGGTTCTAGCGGCCATTGGAGTCGTCGTTAAGCGAGCACTTTGTTGCCCGATACATACTACAAGTGGAGGGATGTCTGTTTAACCGATGTTCTCTAACCTGTCTTCGAAATTAGAACCAGCGTCTCGAGTGAATGAGGAAAGACGATATCGCGATAAACATAGGCCTGGTGAGACGTATCTCACGATGGTTGCATGTCTTGTGCTAAAGTCACGGCCTGGCGTTAACTGTTATTGGGTGATTGAGTGCCGTGGGGGTTGGTAGTGAAGTAAATGCTACCAGTGGTGCTCCCTGCACCTCTACACTGTGTTCGTCGACTAGTTGACTGTCAGTGGTCGTGTTCTTGTTTAACTGCCGCTTGAGACTGGCTTGGGTCTGATGGGACCGACATCAGGTTTCTCTATGATGTCCAAAATGGCAGACTGATCTGCTTCCGCGTACCTTGCGCGACGCCTGGGTCCATCAGAGGATCGCCAGAGGCATGGGGATGACGGGGCGGACGTCATGTGGCAGTCCATTTTGGTGATCCGGGATGATAGAGAAAATTCAGGGGAAAGGGAGAGAAGGAAAACAGCATTTATTGCATTCTGATGCCGAAAGACTATCAAAAATTATGGTGTCAAAACAAGAAAGGCTATCATGCTGGACATGCGTCAGACTGGTCACAAAACACCAGTGGCGCCCTGAGGCAGGACCATGTCAAAGGTAGATGGCAGTCGCCCAACTCGTGCTTCTCTGTAGCATCTTATCCGGTTGCCATGCGATAGACAAGATCCTGTTCATTACTATGGAAGCAGCCGCATCTGAGACTGACTGCCTTTACTATGGACAACATTGTGTTGAGCATCTTGGCGAGAGAGCCACGCCTGAGAACAGCTTAAAGAGGGAATAAGCGAGTGATAGCGGCTTTGACAGGAAACGCATGAAGATGTGCTGAATTCAAAGGCAGCCATCCTCGCCAGTCTTGTTCGGAGATGTGCGAGTGGACCTGGCTCTCTGCGCTACATTGCCAACGCTCCAACCTATGGCCACCGTTGAGCTACCGCTACCTCCTTTCGTCTGAGGCCGAAGATTTGATGTGCAATTGAGTCTGTCACGCTAAACTCTAGTGGTAAGCATGTATCGGGTTTTGAGGGCGATTTTGTGAATTGTGAGAGCTGTCTTACGCGTTGGACTTGCTGTGTGAGTACATACTGCGCAGTCATGTGAGTGAGCATGGAGTGTCTCTCCTGTTTGGTAACCAAGCAGGGACTGTTTGCACTAGTTTATATTAGGGTTAGCGTTATGCCAAGCTTTCCAGGCACCGCGTGTCGCGTCGCATTTCAGCGCGAACCCCCAACCTCCTCCCTCTCCACCTCCACCGACATTAACCACCGACCTTGACCTTGAATGTCATCCTCTCCTTCTTTCAAACTCCGCTTCATTCGCGAAAGCAAGCTGTCCACCGTTAGGCGCTAACCCTACCTTTTTGCCTGCCTGGCGTCTTGTCTCCGTGCGCTATCCTTACTGCAAGGCCTCTGACGCAGCGCATCGGCTTCACAATCTTTGTGTATTGATTCGCGCATCAGAGGGGCGTTACCAAAGCAAGGCTCAGACTGTGTGAACAAGGCTGGTCTTTAGCTGTCTAAGTTCTGGCGCTTGCTGCTGCGACAGAGTCAGGGCTGCTCTTTGCCATCAACGCGAAAGCCCGGGCGGGTGGGTTTCCTTTGCATCTCGCATGCTTTGTTGCAAAGGGGTATATTGTAAGCAAACACATCTTTTAGAAAAGTCCAACTCGAAATGGTACTGCACAATCTTCTCAGCAAGGAAGGCGTTTCCGCCCTAGCGTATACTGCTGATGATGCATCTGCACCATGGTTGTGTCTACTTAGGATTGTGAAATCGCACAATGACACGCAGCTTGGCTTGTATCTCGAATACCCCTTGCCGCGCCCTGGTATTGACGACAAGCAACGTATATTTTTGCGTTATGAAGGTGATAATATAGTGCCTGGCACAATATCGCTCACGAAGCTTGACATATCCCTCCCGGCTACATTGCTCACTGAACTAGGGCGGAACGGAAGTCATCAGACCCGAACGCTGTCACTAACTCTAAAACAACCTTGTTCTGTTTGGCATCGAAAAGAGGCTCCGAACGTTTGTCCTGATTTCCCAAAACTTTTAAAACTAGCAAGGGCAAGAGAAGTACGCATCGTCTTCGACACCAACTGGCTTGGCACCAATTATTCAAAGTTTCACCGCATTTCCAATGGTTCCAAGGAGTTCGCCAGGGTGCCAATTCTCCCAAACTTCACTAATGTGTATCGGCAAGTCGAGTGGTCAATCCTTAGTTTGCTTCAGGGCGTCAGCACAGAAGCTGACACTCCCAATGATGATGCGAGCGCTGGAGAACATATTGCCCAAGACGTGATAACCCAAGACCCACCTCCATATCAACAAGAGTCAGGCTCGGGTAAGCGCTCGAGAGATAGTAAGGGTAGGGTTGCAATCGAATATTGCACTGCCTCTTGCTAACGCCCATTGTCTAGATGGCCTCAGCCCCGCACCCGATACTCCTGCGACGAAGCGCTCCCGACATCCTCCCGATTCGCCTTTGTTAGATTCCTCCACTCCTACATCAAATGTCAGCTCCACGTCTACGGTTCCAGTCAACCTTTTCCAAGAGGCTGTCGCATCCGAGGTGAAGAAGGCGCTTCCCGGCCTGTTGGCCGACTTCTTTGGTGGCATGCGTACAGGCCACTCATTGTCACCACGCTCATCACCAACGCCACCGTACACCCGAATTCCAAATGCGCCCACACGCTACGACCAAACTACAAACTGCCGTTTGACACCTATCTCAGAGATGAAAAGAGTCATGACCAGTACTCTTGCCCAAACCTTCGCCCAAGATATCGACCGAGCCTTTGAGCATGCCTCAGAGCATGCATCTGAGCTATATAACTCCGCCAGCATTGAGATAGAGGAAATCGTTGCTAACGCAAGGTCTGACTTGGCCATGATCAGTGAAGACCAAAAGTTCGGCTTCAATGAGTACTGCTGCCAGCAGGTGGACGAGTTCGAACAGCGTGTGGCAGAAGGAAAAGAGGAAGCCGAAGCAGAGATTCTCAATGCATTCCTCACAGCTTCAGAGAATTTAGATACAGCCAAACAAGCCACTCGTGCAGATTACAGACAGAGCGCGCTTGAATATGGTCGTAGGGCGAAATCTCTACCTCCTCTGGAGAAAGACCAGAATGGCATTGCCAATTTGTGAGTTTGCGTATGATTTAATTAATACGAGTTGCTACTGTACTGTCGTCGATGATCAAGCTATGCTCATACATTTCTGGGTGAAATGCCGTCGTGTAGCTATGGCTTGCCAGCCCTTTAGTTACGGTAGATCATGTTGCGGGTCGGAATCGCTATCGATAGTATGCGTCATGTGTCAAAAACATGTCTCCTGATATGTGTGATGTGATGAAGGCGGCGACCACTCTTACTATCTAACCAATGAGGCGTCACATACTATGTAATACCACGTTTGATCCAAATGGCGGTGTCAGGATAACTGCGATGCTGGTTTTCACTTAGCCTCCACTACTCACGTACCCTTTTGCATGCAGATTGCTGTCTCGCTCACACATCAATCAAATCTTGATGACATTTTGCCAAAACTCTTGATAAACGTAGGGTTATCAGCTCTAAAACAATCGAAATGTTTCGTTCCATCGACACCAGCATCATTCGAAGATATTGTGGAAGTTGGAGGCTTTGAGTCATACGTGCAGTGCAGATGATGGATGTTCACACGCACGATTTTTACTCCAAAATTCATCGGGTGGACATAAATCGACACCCCAGAAGCTAAGATAGTAGAACGGCATATCCTGGTCAACGTATGTGATGATGCACATGACCATGAAATCACAGTACCAGTTTGAATTGCATCAAGCAAGTACCAGGGGTCTGGTTGAGTCGGCCAATTCAATTCAAGGTCTACTTAAGGATGGTAATACCAACTAAAGACATTGATCGGTCATGATCATCACCCTCAGATTTTCCCCGTTTGCATTGCATCCATTATCTTCTTGGTCTCTTTGTGGATTGTCCCTGCGAAGGCTTCACTTTGGGGTGCAGATGCGTAAGTGATCCTCCCTCTCAACGCAATTGCTTTTTGTGCAGGAAATTCTAATAGGTTGGGAATATTCCTCCTGATTGTGGCTGCCTTACCTAAGAATGAGGATGATACCTTCAACAAGACAGAACATGGCGGCGGGGTTGTATACAACGAGCAAGTGGGCCTAACATGAGTAGAGTACGATGGACCTTGGATCAGAGCGAGGAAAAAGCAGGGCGATCGAATAAGGGGTGAGTAGCGAGTTATGATGACTGATTTGTAAGATGATGAACATGGTAAAGAAGAATAGCAGTTGCGAAGTCGATGCAAATTATGGTATACAAGGAAGCAAGGTGGAAACGCATAGCCAAAGGCATTGACTTAATTTCTGCCCCCAGCCTCAACCAGTTTTTCCGCTTCTTCCCTCTCTTCTTCTGGCCTAATCCACTTGCGAAAGCCGATGGTCATGATGCCTCCAATGGCAACCTGAAAGGCCTGAAAGATGATTGCTGGAATCTGCATCTTAGACTGATTGATAGGATCAATATTGATGTACATGACTGTTGTAAGCGGGACAACCATTGCCAGCGCTTTGGCGGGGCAGCAATAGCAACAAGCGATGACGTCTTTTTTGGGCAGCCAGAGCGAAGCAGCTGTAAAGCAAATGGCCAACCAGATCATGTACAGTGCAATGGTGATGAAGATGATGAAGACGATGTTGGAAGGTTTGACAGCCTCGAAGGCGCCCGACGAAAAGGCTTGATCGAACGTCTGCCATACCATGGTCAAGAGGGCAATCGACGACAGCTTGAGCAATTTCCAGTCGAAAAAGACCTTTTTAGTCGTCTTGGGAAATAGGCGCTGGACAATCTGACCGAGGAGCATGGGCAGGAATAGCGAAAGACCAAGTTGCATGAAGACACGCTGGTAGATGCCTGCGTAGCCGGATCCGCGCTGCAACACCTTGCTGTACCACGAACCGGTGGAGAGGTACATTTGGAGTATGATTGGAGTCAGAAAGGGGCAGAGAAACTGGCCGATGACAGACTGGACAACGGTCAGGGCGGCGTTGCCATGGGCTTGGCGCGTCATGACGACGTTGCTCGACATGGTAGTCGGCGCGCTGCCCACGAACAAGAAGCCGATGAGGAGCCAGGGATCCATGAAATGGGGATTGGTCGCGCACAGACTGACAATGGCAAAGGTGGCAGCAGAGCAGACGAGGTAGCACTGGAGTTGGACGAAGATGTGCAGCTTCCAGCGCATGTAGTTTGCGAGCATAACGCGGGTGTCAAGGGTGCATCCATTGATGAAGAAGATGACGGAGACGGCCAGGTAGGTGATTACTGTACGCTTGACTCGCTGTTGTGAAGCAGGCACTTGGACTTGGGACGACACCAGGACGACGGCGCCCATGGCGAGGAGGAACCACTGGTCTTTGACGAACCATTTTAGCACTTGGAGGGTCTTTGCGGCGTTTGTGGGCTTTTTCTTGGTGGCTTGGGACTCGTTGGTTTCGTGCGAGAGTTGTTCAGGGCTGGCCTTGTCCAGGACGGGGTGATGAATAGTGGGAGTGTGGAGGGAGCTGCTGGTATTCGTCGTCGCCGCCCCGTCGATCTGCCCGGCGCGATCGGCTGTCAAAAGGGCCGCTGGGGCCTGGCTGGGGATCTTGTTCATGGGAGATGGATGATGCCAATTCACCGAGCATGGGTTGGCGTGCCTGTGCAGATAGATATGTGAGTGTTCGGCAACATACTACCATGTAGCCGGTATAGGCGGGTTACTATTCCCGGCAAGCGGTTGTCCGGAAGAGCCCGGCAACGAGGCAAAATAGTTTGCCTGAGGAATGTGTAGCGAGACAGGGCAGCAGCCGATGGTCCTAGACTTGCACCGAGCATCGCCAAATCGAAGCCATTTGGCTGTGTGAAGTTGGAGATGGGATACGCAAGGGTTAGTCATCCGGTGCCGTCGACGTCGCCGTCGCCGTCTTAACCCAGGCCCTCGCCCATCTGGCCTGTTCATTCCTCCGCCCCAGCAAGATAGAATTAAGAATAAGAAGCCCAGGCCGTACTGACATACTTACGTACATACAGAAACGAGAAAATAGACTTTGCGCGCTGTCCAGCCGCCCGCCCTCCGCTTAACCATGGCCTCTCCAATGGCAGCCAGCGCATCCTCCGACGAGCGCACCAAGCTGATTTGGTCGCGCGTCTACCAGGAGCTAATCCAGGATGCCGTGCCTGATGCGCGCTTCAACTATGACTTCATGGCCTTCACGCCCGACTTCAGAGGCTCTGCTGCTGCGGTCGAGCGCTTGGCTGCCCTGCCCTGCTACCACTCTGCCCAGGTCATCCTTGCCATGCCCGATAATAGCCTTGAATGCTTGCGCGCCCGCGCCCTCAAGGATGGCAAAAGGCTCGTTGTGGCTACATATCGCTTGCGCAGGGGGTTCCTCGTTTTGGACCCGGGGCGTATCGATGCAAGCAGATACGAACTAGCCGCTTGCCTCGATGGCATGGAGAAGGCTGGTGCCGGCCGGCCCGTCACGCTCGCCCAGATGCGCGATGAGGGTCTTATCATCGACATGTGCGTCATTGGCGGGCTCATCTTCAACGTCCAGGGCGTCAGTGTCTGGGGTGGGCAGAATTTGTTCGAAGTGCAGTGGGCGATGCTGCAAGACCTGGGCGTACTACGCCACCAGGCCCCTGTCGTTGCCATTGCCCATGCCTCCCAAGTGGTAGATGAGGCTCGAATCAGCATGGAGACAATCAAACCGACCAGGCCAGGAGAAGTCCAATGTGACTTTGTCATTACCCCGCATACTATTTTCACAGTCACTGGAGCCGTCAAGCCTACAGGTAGCCTCGACTTCGACACTGTAGATCCAGAAAGCCTTCAGAACATCCCACCACTACAGGAACTGCGGGGTATACGCATGATGGAGACCATCATGCAAAGAAATGGCTTCGCACCTGAGCAGAGGCCCGTGCCCCAGCTTTCTGCTGAGGAACAGATGGGCATTAGCATTGTAGACAGGCTGATGCAAAATCATAAGAGTTGAGCGACGAAATCATACCTACCCGACTCTGTCGGCAGCAATATCCATTCACACCATTATCCGACCAGTGTTTCGTCGTGAGTTTGCTTGTCGCACTTGCACAAGATACACCTCCAGTAGGAATGAGTATGCTGCACATCGCCTTCTCTGCAATTGCATGCAGTCGTTAGATGAGATGTTGGCAGGTACTACCGCTTTGGCAGGACAAAAGCGAAGATGCACTACATAGTAGTGTGCTGAGTTGCTTACCTATGTAACTCGCATGCCAAGCATCCACCATTTGCCTTCTGCCATCTCTCCCAGATGGAGCTCCGCCCCTCTACTAGCCCGGGATTCGCTTTTTCTGTATCACTCAGCAGCCCTTCTCTGCGACTCATTCCACAAGAAATTTCTTTCCAGCAACCTTGACAAGCCCTTCGCTCTTTATCCCCTTTTTGCTAGCTGTTTGGCACTCCTGAGAAACCCTTTGCTTTGCAGACTGAGAAAATTCCTCTGTGATGTATGGGAGCTGGGACCACTGTGTACAAAGACCACAGGGGTTGCGATCGTCGGGATAGATGTATCATGGTTGCCAGCTATGATCTCGTTGGACCAGCAATGTCCCGATTTCCCATTCTCTGTCACTCTGTTTTTTTTTGAATTACCAGTTTGTTCATATTACTGGCCAACTGTCTGGCTTGTATAACACTTGGTTCTACCTGAAATTGCTGTCATGTCACTAGTCAGTTGGACGCAGCTCCACACCAATCTGCTAATCCTTCGTTTTGCAGATGAACATTCGATCAACAGACATACCTCGTTGAGATGTTCCTCCGCCACAGCGTGTGCCTTGTGAGTTACTCCTGACCATACCAACCTCTTCGAGCTGCCTACAGCCAAAAAGAAATTTAAAAAAGGTTGACTGCACAGTTCACTGATGATAGTGCGGCGAGTGGTAAAAAGGTTCAGTGCTACCAAAAGCATACATCAGAAAATAACACCACAGCATAGCTGTGTTTGTCACCTGGTTTGGCCACAATTAATCCAGTCCACCAGTTACTCCCACCAGGTATCAATACGAGAGAAATTTGGGGTTGCCCTGCATGAGTGAAGATTTAGAGCGTAGATAGCTTAAATTTGCACCATGGACAGTAAAGCGACGATTCAATTGATAACAGAGAATGTGAATGATCTGGATTGAGAGAGTGCAGTGTATAACAGAAACCACAGTGTTAGTTTCTGACTGGTTTTGCATGCATCTACAATGCAAAGCTCCTGTCAATAATAAACTTTTCGAATCCCAATCGTTTCGGCATACATGAAGTATTGTACTCCACAACCACAGCATCAAGCGATGCTCCTGGCCTTTCTTACCACTTGACTATGTACCAAGCTGTGTACAGGGGTAAATAGTTCAAACAAACCTAGTGTAAGCACATGGAGTTGGTATTAGTCACATAGCTTCTCATGATGCCGAGTCGGTCTCGGTCAAGCTATCCTGTTCATTGCTCTTCCAAGTTCTCGTCATGTTCTCAAACAACAATTACGACAACCATCACACTGCTGTAAAACATTGCGTATCCAGCATTCGAGACTCTTCCCACTACTGTATCCCGAACAGAAGTCATTAGCATGGCTGAAACAAGTGTGAGATCATCAAAGCGGAATAATCTACTGCTTGATCTGTATCGTAACAATCTCATGATTTGCCACAATGTGGACCATCTTACTATTCTTATCCCAACAATTCATCAATCCTCGGCGACACTGTCAAGGGAAGGATTGAACTCACCACCTGCGTGCTCCTAAATTGTTCTAGAAGACACCATTTTACATAGACGTTTGTACCTAAACATTCCTTCAATGCGTGCTGATCACTGCAAGTGAGATTTGCTTGCAAATTCATAAGTCTGGAGCCGCACCGCTCGTAATCGGGATTGACCAATAGCAAGCAATGAGTGACATACGAAATCTTGGCAGATCCAAAGCAAACACTTACCACTACGCCAGACAAATCTGGGGAATAGCAATCTTGGTCAACGTTTTGCGTAGTTAACTACCATTTCAGAAGAAAAGTAACATTGCTTCCGCTAGCTGCTGAGATCATTCATGTTCCTTTCTCGGCCGCTTGCACGTACAATCTTTTGCAGCAAAGCAGCCGTCCTGCTTACTACAACAAAGCGCGCTCAGCAATTCTCTTGCTCAGTCATTACCACAGCCATGAACAGCGATCTGAACAATACAGCAGCTGAACGCACAAGAGCAGAAATCGCAATCGATTCCCGATACCGGCATTTATCTTTTGCAATACCTGTGCACGAAGATGATGCCTCTATTCGCCAGGCATATCGGCCTTTTTTGCTAGATGCAAAACAAGCAGATAATGATTGGATTGCCAGGCTCGAGCTCAGCACAGCGTTAAAGATGGTGGATGAGCAGGTGATGAAAAATGGCTCTGACAGGATCAAGGTCCTCGTGCTATACGGCAGTATGCGAGAACGGTAATCCAGCTTTTCCAGCAGCAATGCGTCATCTTCATCTGTTCTAGTTCTTCTTCTGCAGCAAGACTGATCAGATGCATAGATCATATTCTCGGCTGCTCGCGTATGAAGCCAGTCGCATCCTATTCCGACTTGGCTGTGACGTGCGCGTGTTCAATCCCACTGGGCTCCCCGTCAAGGACGACGTGCAACACTCGCATGAAAAAGTGCAAGAACTGCGGGAACTGAGCAAGTGGAGTGACGGACATGTTTGGGTTAGTCCCGAGCAACATGGAAATCTTGTAAGTAACACATTATCTGTCCCGTTTCCCATCAGTCATCTGATGTCAGTGGTCTGGAGTCAAGTGCCTAGCTGATGAGCGACAATAGACTGCCGTTTTCAAGAATCAAATCGATTGGATCCCATTGTCCACGGGCTCGGTGCGACCTACGCAGGGCCGCACCCTCGCCATTGCTCAAGTCAACGGTGGCTCACAATCTTTCAACACTGTCAATTCACTACGTATACTTGGCCGCTGGATGCGCATGTTCACAATCCCCAACCAAAGCTCCATTCCTATGGCTTACAAGCAATTCACGGATGCGGATGCTCCGGACGAGGGAGGGAGTAGGCTGATGCCGAGCGGTAACCGAGATAGATTGGTGGACTGTATGGAAGAGTTCGTGAAATACACGCTCGTCATGCGGCCGCATTTTGACCTGTTTGGGGATCGGTATAGCGAGAGGGAAGAGAAGAGAATAAAAGATGAGAGAAAGATGGAGGAAGAGCAGAAGGGAAAAGATGTTGTGAACAACGTTTCGTTGACGGACATATGATGCACGATCGAGCTAGATATTAGCTTGTTTCTTGTTGGACAAAGATACTTCGGCCGCGAAATGGCCGGGTTGTTGTAAAAAGAAGCCCGCTTTTAGGACATGGGGATCAAGTATTGCACATGTTTGGTGAGGAGTACAGATAAGCGACGTTGTTAGATAGCCTAAAATCCTGCATTAAGCCACAGCATCTCGGTCGTTTGGGGAGACTATTAGTTACACACAATCATCCTATATGTAGGTAGACCATGAAAATTTTTCCTCGGAAGCCAGAGAAAGTGGCTTGAATGCGGTTCGAGGGCTAATGACGATGTGTGGATAATCTGCATGTGGGGCTGGATTCGATGTGGATGTTTCCATGCCCTGTTGCTTTTGTTACAGGTGTGTGTATGGGGATCGGATTTGGGGTGGGTGTGAATGTGGACGCATAAAGAGTTAGACTAATGTCAACTATATGTCTTGGTATGTTGAATAAAAGAAGGAAAAAGCAAGATCAGTGGCAAAAATCAAGGAGAAAAAACAACGTGCGTCTGTAGTGGGGAGTGCAACACAAGAATCGAACAAAAAGGAAGCCTCCCAGTGATCCATTCTTCGCTTTCGATTCTTGAACGTCGAATCGAAGTTCCCGTTGTATACGCACAAAGTCATGCCTCGGAACCGGAACCTCGACGACCCACATGGTAAGTCTGATTGTGAGGTAACTGCTGCTTGTTCGATGGCAGAAATGGCTCGCTGGCATGGGATGTAGAGAAGGTGTCAGACCAATGTTGGCAGGATCCGAAACCCTACTTGGCTCTCCATTGCTCTGGGGTCTGTTCGCTAATTGCAACCTTGCCACTCGATACTTGAGCAATCACTCGGCTCAAGCGCGTACCCGGTTTGTCGAGTGCTCTTAGTCCAAGGTATACATGGTTTGGAATCAAAAATGGCGCATTTTACTGAATTTACTTGGTTGCTGCTGGTATATCAAGTGCTCAGGTTCCTGACCTTCCCCATCGGCATGCATCACCAGGTGCGGTGCAGAAGATAGAGTAGACATTGGCGGGGTAACGCTAGCCCCAATTAGTAAGGTATAGTGTTTTCACCCTTACCCATGTTATAGGGGACCCTTGATGGTGAGGGTATTGGTGCGGGAGGATGCATTTGTTGAGCGCGGTATTAAATATCTTGTCAGCCGATCTTGTACGAAACCTTGATTTTTTGAGGTGCATGTACCTGGGTGCGCCTGTTCGCAGCGTCACCGACGGCAGTGGCTGGGATGCGCAGTGTCCCGCGTCTGAAACGCTGACGTGATGGGAGATGGTTAATATCGAACCGCGTCCAATAGCAGTAGGTATAAAAGTCTGATGATAGGGGCGCAGACACAATTGGCATAGGTGTTTTGTATGCAATGCCGTCATCAGCGTGATTGAGCAAAGAGGGCCCAGACTCGGTCACTTGTGTGATCTTCGCGCCACGATGCAGCTCCATGCAGGAGGCGCACAAGCACAGGCAAGCCATTGTTGCAGGAACCATTAAAAGAGCGACTGGACAAGCGGAGGACTTGGCGCAGCCGTTGGCCACGAGGTACTTTCACACGCGTGTATTCAACTTGGATAAACGTCCACGGCAGTCCAGCGTGGGAATTCACCTCCAGTGTCAGCCTCAGTTGGGAGCCGAGACTGATGGACAGGATTAGTCAGACGTGTTTTGGCGGTCACAATGAAAGAGAAGATCAAAGGCGACCAGAAGGTTGTAAGAAAAGACAAGGAAACGTTCCACAAATCGGAAAGGGCATTGTCTGAGTGACAAAGATCCGCGGGGTGACATGTATCGCGGGTACGTACTTTGTCTCCTGTGTAGTGTAGACAGAAGGGTATTAGTCTCCAGGAACCCCTGTATGCAAGGATGGCATGGTCAACCGGGTGGAATGTCACCATAAACACTCGAGTGTTTGCATTACTCAGCCTATAGTTAAGCGAATAGGTTCGCCCTGGAAAGCGCTGGTACCGACAAACTGGTCATCATGCCACAGGCGAGTTTGGCTCAAAGTCAAATAGTAAGCCATCGGGCATTTATCACCGGATGGGATTGGGAGCTGACAGAGCCTTAGTTTCATACACGAAGGACGGACAGTTCGTGCGGCGGGTCTTGGGGGCAGGAAAGTAGGGTGGCGCGTTACAAATGGTCCAAACATGGGGATAGTTGGGTGCCAGTGTGGGCAGAGCCAAGACCAAGTGCCGACGGCCGCGGCAACGAGTCAGGCAGTGAATGTAAGTACGCAGTAGCGTGCTCCTACGGGCATTGCTTCTGCAACGCCACCAGCCATCCGCTGCCAGTCTGTGTGTGTGGGCTGGATTGATAAAGCACAAAACGTTCCTCGGCATCGAGCGCAAGGTGGAAGCAGGCAATGAATGTGGGCCAGCGTGGCTCCACCAAACCGCCCTCTATGGCTAGCGGCCGCATTCCCGTGGGCTGGGCGTGTCGAGCATTGCCGGATGCAGAGAGGCAGCAGTCGTAGTGCTGGACGGAGGGAAAACGACAGCGGGTAAGGAAGAAGTGGAATCGAGAAAGCAGCTTTGGGATATGGCTCCGGGGGTTGTGTGGTCTGGCAGAGTGGGTTGGGCAAGGTGAATGCCGGCTGGCGGGGGCCAAGACGCGGCAGACGCAGGAGACAGGATTTTCGTGCGCTAGGCCGCAGATGGTTAGCGCCCATGTGCCCCACATTCCCGCGAAACCTTGTGTGAGCCGCTCTTCGTCCATCGGCTGGCCACACGGCCAACGACGACAGACAACGGTGCCAGGCGAGCTGCTCAAGCGTCGCCTTGCATCTCGACGACGACGAGGTCTCAGCTATCCGCCGGCCGGGTCGGCAATGAGCCCACTGACATGCGCCACCATACCACAGAGCCGGTGAGAAGCGCAACCTTGTCCAGGCCTCCCATCATCTTACTGCCACCGTACTCACTGACTTATCCTACATCCAGGCATGGTGCGATAGTCCGTCCCCTTTACCAACGCAGCATGTCGAATGTAGAGCATTGTCGCTATAGCCTCGTTTCTGTACCCGTCCTGGCACGGCCTGGCACGCATGATTACTCGACACGCGCAAATCAATGGCCGCCGTCCTAGCTCCACGGGTAAACACCCAGCTTGGTAACGGCCTCGCCCTGAAACGGACCAGACCCTGGATCCAGTATTGCCAGCCCGCGTGCAGTGACCCGCCTCTCTCGTGGCGGCTTGCGTTATGCATTGCCTCCTACGCAGTATAGCTCCACCTCGGCAAAAACCAATCCACCTACCTTACTGTGTTAAAGATGCATATCCCCTCAAGCTCCATGGCCCTCCCGATTTTGGGGCTCTCTGCTGCCAGAGCATCCGCTGCCTCAAAATCACAATCATCATGGCCGTCCCCGATAGAGGCCCCGAGCTGCTCGCAGTCAACATTGCCTTTGTCACCACGGCCGTCTTGGCCTGCCTGCTGAGGTGCTTTGTCCGCGTCCGCATGGTCAAGGCCTTTGGTCTCGATGACTGGCTCATGGTTGTTGCAACCGTAAGTAGCAAAGGAGACAAACAAGTAGATTCACCATTCAATCCAAGTACTCACATGGCACTCAGCTCTTCTTCATTGCCTATACCACGTCCTCCTGCATAGGCATCAGCCATGGAACAGGCCGCCACCACTATGACCTTCCCATCGAGGGTGTCCAGGATGCAAAACATGCCTGGTATTTCTGTTACCTGTTCTACTCCATCTCCATGATCTGCTCCAAAATGTCCATCGGCTTCCTTCTACTGCGCATCAGTATCCGCAAACTCCACACCTGGTGAGTTGCCACAAGAGCGGCCTGGCTGGGCACCCGACTAACCACATCAGGATCATCTACACTGCCATGCTCGTCTCAGTTGTCGCCGGAGGTACCTTTTTCTTTGTCTGCCTCTTCCAATGCTACCCCATCTCGTACATGTGGGATCGCACTTCGCAACAAGGAAAGTGCATCGACAACACCGTCATTACCGCCCTCGGCTATGTCTACAGCATCTTCTCCATCATTTCCGACTTTACTTTTGCCATCATCCCTGGATTCCTGGTCTGGCATCTGCAACTGAAGAGGAGGGCAAAGATTGCACTGATCCCCTTGATTACCATGGGCTGCATCGCAAGCGCTGCCGTCATCGCACGCCTGCCCTTTATCCACTTCTTCAACTCACCGGACTTCCTTTGTAAGCACTCGACACATCGTGTTCCCATCATGTACTAACCCTTGCAGGGTCCACGCTTGACATTGCTATCTGGTCTTCTGTCGAGCAGGGTCTCGCCATCACCGCCGGAAGTCTTGCAACACTCCGCCCACTCTTCTTCATTGCCATGTCCAAACTCGGACTATCAATGCGCAACCCATCCGCCTATCGCCCGTCAGCCTACGCCATGTCAGCTCCGCTTCCAGCAAACGCCGCCGCCTCTGGTACAACGTCCAAGGCTGACAAGCTCCGACCAGACCTGTACAAGCTCTCTGCCACTGTTCAAACCCGCACCTCAGAAGACGAAATCATGCAAATCGGGAGCAAGTCAAAATCGCCCCAGTGGTTCCCAAACGCTCCGCCTAACTCCAAGAAGAGCACTCGTGTTGACAACTCAGACAATGGCAGCGAGCAAAGCCTGAGGAACAAGAGCTCACGGAGCAGCACAGAGGACATCTTCTCCAATGGAATCATGGTTTCAAAGTCATTCTACATCACGGATGAGGAAAGAGGTTCGGTCATATCTGCGCCCTACAGATAGTCCATGGTGCAACGGCACAAGCTACACCGCCCTAGTAGCCTTTACCATCAAACTTAATTTCCCCTTCCATTACGGCTCCCATCCTTTGTCGGATTTCTTGCGGGTTGATCACAATACCGGCATCCGATGGCCATTGTACACCCCACCGATAACAGTCACCTAACTGCTGCGAAACCAAAGGATTCTTACTGCTGTATTGCAGCGCCACCGTATCTCTGGAAAATACGTGCCTACAACTTGGGAAAAGGTGGTGGGACTGAAGGCATGATGAGTCTGGCAGAGTGTACAACCGATATCAGTGGACACGCTAGATACAAATGGTACAGCTTGTACTCAGCAGGGACGACTGTGTAACCACGACATGAGCTGTAGTCCCTCCTTACCAGTGAGTTCGACTCGCTAGCTGGTTCATCATCGTCATTTGCACAACAATCGGCAGGGCCGAAAAACAGATGGAGAATGAAACATCGAAGAAGAAACGCGACCTGGGTACATTGGTTACCAAATTCTGTACATTATCATCATCACGATCAACGGCCTTTGCCTTGTTTTTCCTACATATATACCCATGCGACATACATAATTAGACACCCTAATATTCATCAACTATTCAGAGCAAGTAGACATTTTTTGGTCAGATCCTTGGTGCGTAACAGGAGTGAATTTTCGTGGGGGATGAGTTGTATCGTGGCCAATCAATCATCAAGTCTCCGGAGTGGATTTGACTTTAGACTGACACACTCTGCGATGCAGTAATCAGCTGAGAGGAAACCGGCAACCCGGGGCCGATCACTCTAGCTCAGAGGTGTAGATCTTAGAGACCTAGGGTGTTGGCGCGAGATTCTGCTAGATTCTTTGTACAAGGGTTGCAACGACGTTTATCCTAGTAACCTTAGCACTTGGAAACATCCCGCAACCAATTCCCTCACGTTGTGCGTATTTTCAATTATCTTGGCCATGTGCATAAACGACGAGTAGCTGGTTGTCCCACCACAGCATAGTAATCAGGTACCAAGCTTCACATTTGGCATAGCACCGCTTCCGAGTTCCCCACACGGATTCCAAATTATCTGCGCACCCAAAGGAGCGGATTCCGGCTACCAATCAGACCGGCAAGCTGACGGGTCCACGATTTAGACAGTTGCCATGAACTTGGACATCGGCACATGGCATCACCAACAAACCTTGTCCCTAGGTCGTATGTTTGACATTCGCACTTGGTGTATTTTCCTAGCGGGTGATGTTCATTTGGCGCGTTAGCAGAGTCAAGACATGAATGGGCCAACCAAGTGACAACGTGCTTACTAGCGCAGCCACCCAGGCAGTTTGTGGGCTGAACTGGACATGGGCGGAGGAGGCACAAGGCCGGGTGCTGAACTCCTAGCGGCGACGGTGTGCGCGACACGTCTTCTGGCCCTGCTAGGGGGGGGGGGGGCGATTCCATGTGCTATGATTTATTGCGGCAACTTGCATGCGATGTGAAGGAGGGACGATAACGAGGTGGTTAGTGTGGTTAGGTACGTGGAACTCTCATGTCGGCATTTCCGTGGTTCGCTTTGCCAAACAGTCCTACTGCGCATACATCTTGACATGCAGGTACCAAAGCTACGAAATCCTGTCACCTCAATCAACGCCATGTCGAGGTGTCATTGTTCGACGGCACAGCGTAGATTAGTGTTTTGATATTACAGGTGTTCATTCCAAAACCCGAGGCTCTCGATGCTCGGGTCGGAAAATGTGGATATTTACCCACCGGAGAGAGATCCGAAGGCGATGTACGAACCAACTGGGAGCATCCTTACATTGTGCTTTGCATGATGCGGACTCGATAATCTGGGACAGCAGGGTTAGTCCCATGTAGCAGATGACGTCGGCTATGGATGTGCTGGGATTATGCTTGTCGAGTTCACTCGATAAGTACAAATGCGTGCCGAGGTACGAGCAAGATTTCGACTTGCAGATACACGATGTGAAAATGTGAAATGGTCATGTTCGAGATTGATGCCGTGAGTCAAAGGGATAAGTGTCAGCACTGAGATGAGAATCAATGTATTTGAAATATAGACATAATCCAACTTGGAAGAAACTTTACGAGCAGCAAGAACAGTCATCGCAACTCGAGTCGCGGATGGCAGGGGGCACAGCGCATGTTTTCTGGGGGTCATAAGGCAACGTCGCCGTTGGCGGAGGACGCGTGTTTAGAATAGTGATCTTGAGCAGGACGGGAATAGCAGATCCAGTGCTGAGTCTGAATGCGCGGTGGCCCAGGACTAGGTCACGATTAGTACTAAAGAATGTCGTGAATGCTGGTTTAAAGAGAGAGAGCTTACCGCGTAGTAGACTAGAAATTTCTCCCGAATGCGAGGTAATAGAAATATACGTGCTATCGTCGTTGGAAAAGATGTCGTCAAGCACGGCTTTGGAGCGTGCGTCCTGGTTCTCACGCGGCTCAGCGAATAGCTCGGTCCAGTAGGGGTCTTCCTCTGCGAATCCCTCTTCAAACTTGAAAGAAGGGAAGTTTTGGCGGATAAACGACTTGCTACGGCGACGGTCGCAGGTATGCGCACTGATGCCTTCGCGAAGAAGCTCCTTGATAACCGGCACGAAACGCGTCTTGCTGGGCAGCTTGACTCCTTCAAAAGTGAATTTTGCAGTCTCAAGGCAGCGATACAGAGGGCTGGTGTAGAAGGACTGTGGCGGAGAAATTTTCTCGTCCTTGATCAAGTGTTGCCAGAATGCGTTTACGAGTTTTGCTTGCTGTACGCCGACTTCGGTGAGCTTTGCATCAGCCCATGTGACAGTGCCGTTGCCATCGAGCTCAGACCAGTAGCAGTTCCATGCTGGAGTGCCATAGTAGGATTCAGCGGCATTGTGAAAGCCTTCGCCATGGCGGCCCATGAAGACAAGGCTGTACCGCTCATTACGCGCAGACTGCTTGTTCAGGGTAGAGATATAGTGGGCGAGACGCTGCCATTGGGTCGATTCCTTGCCGTCTGGGCAGGTCGCGTCAGTTGGATAGGTACGGTTGATGAGGCCAAAGTTGCTGGCGGTGAAGTCGAACGTGGAGGGGTTGGTAGAGTTATCGTCCTGTTGAAAGATGCCAGTAATGACAGTGTAGTCTATGTCCTTGGAGTGGCGGTGGGCATTGACGGCAGAAGCTACCGCCAGGAGGCCGTACAAGAGTGACGAGGCAAGCATTGTCAGCCACTTGGAGATTGTGTCGGAATTGCAGTGAGCTCAAGGCCTGACATTGTGATTGAGAGGCCATTGTCCGACTTTTTAAAAGACCGCATGATGTCGGATGCAATTGTGCCGTTCGTACAACCGTCAAGATGGCGGCGAGCAGGGGATGGCTGTAACAGCCAATCAGTGACCCACGTGAATTCGGCTGCCTAACCTCGTAGAGCCTGAAGTGTGGAGGGAATTTTTCGACCTTCCTGTTATTGAAGTGGCGTAGGCACGACGGAGCAATGGGGCAATGGGGCAATGGAGCCATGTGATGGAAACCTCGGATACGAAAGAAGCGTGTTCTCTGGAGATCCTTTGATTGGAGTTGAATGCTTTTTAAGGGTGTTTGCCGTGCAGGGCAATGTGTTCTGCCGCTCCAGCAACCTGGTTCTTGGAGCGATTGGTCTTCTTTTGGAAGTTCGAATGGTGGACTGGAAGCTTAAAAAGATAGAGATGGCCAGAGTGGTCATTCGGGGATGTAGATGGAGGCAAACGTGCCATGAAGGCTACTTGAGAGATTGCAGTCGGCGAAGGCGATATGGAGTCTGTGTATACCGCTTTGCCGTACATGATTCCAAAGAATGAGGGTATTTATCAATCAAAGTAGACGTGAAGCGATTGTCTCTAAGAAAAGTCAAGGTCGCAGGCGTGTATGTGCAATCATGTACAGGTAGCACCGTAGCACGTGATTCCTATCACGTGCCAGGCACCTGCCAAGCCATGCGGCTGTCGCTGCCATGCCGCGGCTCCACTAAAAATGTTGAAGCTGTCGCAAAACGGAAATACACTCGACCCATTGGACCATCTCTCCATTTATCCACATTCCACAACATAGCGTCATGTTCGAGAACTTGTGTGCTCTCCCTGTGGAGCACGATATTTTTGTGCAGACGGTCCACCCCCAGCAGCCACTTGTAGCAGTCGGCCTGGCCAATGGCGATGTTCACACCTACCGCCTCCCTGCGGGCGCAAGCGATGACGACAACGACGACGACGACGATAATGACACGACATTAGCATCCGAAAGCGGCTTTGGAACCATCGACCGCATCTGGCGCACAAGGCGACACAAGGGCAGCTGTCGGACCCTTGCATACAGCGTCGATGGCGCGTCCCTGGTCTCTGCGGGCACCGACGGCATGGTCAAGGTTGCAGATTCCATGACCGGCCAGGTGACCGCCAAGATTGCCATTCCACTGGACCCGTAAGTCGCAGCAAGAGGCGAGCATGTACGAAGCATTCATCACTGAGACGGAATAGCTCCAATGGCGGCATCGACGCGCCCACACTAGTCCACGCCCTGTCACCGCAATCCCTCATCCTCACCACCGACTCCGGAGCGCTGCACATATACGACATCAGGAACCTCAAAGGTGGGGAGAAGGTTTCCCTCAAGCCGGAGAACACTCACCGCCCACACGACGATTACGTCTCCTCGCTCACCCCACTACCCCCGACACGAGCGAGTACAAGCGGTTTCAGCAAGCAATGGGTCACGACAGGTGGCAGCACACTGGCCGTCACGGACATCCGTAGGGGGGTCATGGTCCGTAGCGAGGACCAAGAGGAGGAGCTGTTGAGCTCTGCTATTGTCACCGGCCTCTCGACAAAGGGCTCTAATGTAGGCGAGAAGGTCGTGGTTGGCGCCAGCAACGGTGTCCTTACCCTCTGGGAGCGTGGCGTATGGGATGACCAAGACGATCGCATCATCATCGACCGCTCTAAGGGAGGCGGCGAGAGCCTTGACGCCATTACTGTGGTGCCTGATGGTGTTGGCCCAGGCGGAAAGATTGTTGCCGTCGGTATGGGCAACGGCAACATTCGCTTTGCCAAGATTGGCCCCAATAAGATTGTCGCCGAACTCAAGCACGACGAGCTATCTCATGAAAGCGTCATTGGCCTTGATTTTGATGTCACAGGCAGGATGATTAGTAGCGGTGGCAAGACGGTCAAGGTGTGGGGCGAGCAGACGTGGCAGGACGTTGACGAAGACGACGAAGACGAGGAAACCGAAAATGGAAAGCGCCAGCACGACAGCAACGACAGTGACGATAGTGATGGCATGGACGACAGCAGCGAAGAAGACGAACCCAAGCAAAAGCGAAAGAAGAGGAAGAAGAACAAGGGCCAGCAAGCAAAGGGGCACGGCATTTTGCACTTTTCTGGCCTCGACTAAGCCATGCCTTGCTGTTCTGTTTCCCTCAATTTGCATTGGTATTCATTGGGAGGATTCTTGGATAACGGAGGCGCATGGTCCAAGCGGGTTTGCATTGTTGTACAGGCACAGGAGTTACCTCA